ACACTTTTGGCATGATATTGTGGATGAAATGAGCAAAAATTATTATTTCTGTATACATAATAATATATTATATTATGAATTTTATGTTATATCCCTTCCAACTCTGTATCTTTCTTCTTCTTCCTTTTTTTTTATTTCGTGTGTGAGTGTGTGGAGATTTACCGTATCGTATCGTATCTATGTCCCATGTTCATATCCGTGCTTCAAAAGACAACTGTTGAAGATCAAGAAATTGGGATATTCCTGCATTTCCAAGCTTCCCTTGAAAGAAGGTTCCTAAAATAGACGATTGAGACGTGGATCCAAACAAAAGTAACGTCCACTCAAACTAACTCCTTGTCAAAGAAGCACATTTCACTGCTCCTGGATCAGGTTTATTTCAAAATAATTGATGTCGACAGATTTGACACACTGGGATCTTGTGGAGGATTAGAAAACAATGAAGATGAAGAAGAGAAGACCTTTGTGGGAGCCTGATGTTCTGCACATGCGAGGGAACTTAATTTCTAAGAGATGCAGCCCTAAGAACTGCTTCTACTCAATAAAGCTTCAACATAGAACATCATTCTCTAGCAACATCTAAGAAGTGATTGTTATTGATTTCTGCCACCAGTTTTTGCTGCAAAGTGCCGACTAGTGCAGTCCTAATTTCTAAATCATAAACCCAAAAACATTAAAGCTCTAGCTCACCATATTTTACTGTAGTGCAGTCCTAATTCTCTTATTTTTAAGATTCTATCCTACACCACTATCTCTCTCTCTGCAGAAGGTAAGGTGTGTTAAGTGAAAGAAGACTAAAGTGGCTTGAAACAATTTCAAAGAGGTTACTTTGGTAATGTAATCATGCTATGAAGATATATGGTCATAAAAAAGCCAGGTGGAGCACGCTTTATTCTTCAAAGCATGAGTGTTGAAGTAACCTCCCATTTTCCAGGATCAGAAGACACTTGTTAAGGAAGTTTGATAGAAGATTTGGGTAACATAAATATTTCATTGGGCATGCATAGCAGACCAGAAAGAGGTATATTCGAAGGGCATGTTTGGTTTGTAACTATGGAAACAGTTTTTTGTTCTCAGTTTTCTGTACAAAAAACTCTACTCGGTTCAATTTTATGAAAACTCAATTATAAAAAGGTTTGTTTTCGTATAACAGTCTTTTATTGTTCTCTGAAAATTGTTCTCTATTTTCTGATTTTCTGAGAACTATTTTTAGAGTTACAAACCAAGCAGGCCCGCAAGAGAGAATACATTGTGGATCTCCCAAAAGAGACTGAAATGATCAGATTAGAGTACAGGTTTGAGAATACAAATTGAACAAAATCATAGATCCAGTAAAGATGCTGAGACCATTTAAGTGGGTGTATGGAGATTCCAAAGGTTTGTAAGGAAGCTTATCCATTAATCTCATACTCTGCCTGATGCCTATGCAGTGAGTGTGTGAGCTTGTTCACGCATGCTCCTTGATTGTCCTTTACATCTAAACAGAGTCTTCAAAATTCTTTGATACTGGTGGAAAGTATTCGATTCTCCAAAACATAATCATTTGAGGAGAGAAACTTGTACAGATGCAGAATAGGCAACCTAATTAATGACTTAACTTCAGGGTTATATACCTTCGTTGGAGGTTATTTAGTGATTTGGTAAGTAAGAAGCAATTAATGGGCAGTGGTTGTCAAGTCCATTACTGAAGCAAAATTTAGGGTAACAGCATAGCTTAAATGCACATCAAAAGTGCTGCAAAATTGGTCAATGATCTGCAAACTTAAATCAACATCGATCTAACAACTCAGAATTATGTGGACCTTCCAAACACGGATAAAGTTCAGAAGGAAACCTTAGTGCCAAAACAAAATTCTGCTGAAACCCTCCTGTAAAGTTTCGTAGAATTTCAAAAGAGAGTACCATTGTCTGAAACCTCTGCATTTGAGACCTTCTCAGGATAGGGGAAGTTCATACAGAGAGAAGCCCCCCGGAGCTTAGCTAAATAAATCCTTCACACTTCTTTAACATGAAGTAATAGATGAGGAAATCAATTCTCGGCTGGAGTAGACACTATTCACACAAAGCTCTCATAAAGCTCATGCACAGGGGACTACATCACCTGGACTCAGGTGAGCACATCAACGTATCAAGGTGTTATATTCATCCAATCTTGAAGTCTTTTGCAGAGAGGTGAATAGTTGAAGTTTCTGATTTTTCTTGTTCTATATTTTAGACTAGAACATGCTTACATAGCATAGCATCTCCGTAATGAGTCCTCCAACTAGTTTTAAAATATCTCCACAAAGAAAGTAACGCAGAACCACTATCCCTTGGAACTTATGGTAGATTGTGAACATGATCTTCCCTTTCTATACACAGCAGAAAAATATATAAATATCTATAAACCACATGCAAATCTTCTCAACTCTGACAAGGGTACTTCACACATTTTGAAGCACCCTGCACGTTGCAACATGACGTTAACATGTTTTTCTCCGAGAATACGATTTCTGTATATTTCCCATACTTGATTCACTATTTCTATGAACATAGCATTGACGCTAACTGTGCGCTCCACGCTATTCCGCTGCCCTATCATCGCCATAAGATTCTCACTCATCCATCATCGTTCATGTAAACTATCTGAACTCTATTGGATGTACAATCCTCAGTTAGTCTCTAGCACCTAGGAAGAATTCATGGTGCTTGAACATTACAAAATCACCCATCATAACTAATATATATATATATATATATATATATATATATATATATATATAATTGGCACCATGGCATATGTAGACAACTAACCACCAGGCACAAATTGCATCATAAAGTTGAACCAAAGACATAGGTAACCACGATCAATCAAAAGTTCATCGAGTTGAACCTAGCAATCACATTTCACCATGATTAATCGAGAAGCACTTTTAACTTGATGGGGAAATAAAAACTGCCGAAGGAACAGTAATTTCTGTAACATGAAGTAAGACTAACTGCGTACAAATTGTTCCCTCCGGCAGCTTGACAAACATGATTATAGCGCACACCACCAAAATGCCCCCAGGGTTCTCATCAAGAAAATGGCCCAACCAACCACGATACATAGAATTGTAAGTCCCTTCGAAAAAGGGTGTAATAGAAATTAGTATTACCCCTCCTCAAAACCCAAGAACCAAAATAAATAAATAAATAAAAACCCATCAGATTAAGCATAGCTGGGTACGACCAACATGTATATCCTCATTGTAACATTATGTACAGATTGCTTATGCTGTTATGATGGACCCAGCAAATTTTTCTTTACTTGTAACAATCGATTATAGGATCTCTAGAAAAAATTCCCATGCAACCATTGACCATATAAAGAATCAAAACAAAGACCTAAAACAGGGAAGAGGGAGTAGAATACCCCAGCCTTTACTGGTTATCCGAATTTCATGCATTTTTTTCAGGAAATAAGAAAATGATAATTTCCCACAAAATATCAACAGAATTACCAGATAGCCAAAGGCATGCAGGAACATACCAAGTAAGCGGAAGTACAGCAGAACTGGAATGGTAAAACTTGCAGCTTTTTTAACTGTGTGACCAGTCCATGATGTTCTTCCTCAGCCAAGTATAACATGAATGTTTGAGCAACTGAAACACAGATAGACAAAAAATCCAAACCAGATGTGAAAGCAAGAAGGCGAAATAATTTTTCTATAATATCAATTATAAGTAAAACAGATGGCGTTGAAACTTTTTTTTTTCCTTGGCAAGAAAACTCACACCCATTTGCCCCTATGGGCACGTACCCTCACATCTCACTTTGAGAGGTTGAGGAGATACCACTAGGCTACAACCCTTGCCATATTGAAACTTGAAACATAATAGATGGAACATGACATATATAACCGTCCAATGCTAAGGTAAAACTGCAACACCCACTGGAAAATGGTGGGAGAGGTGATGTATAGAACAAAAGATAAACTCAGATAAGCATCCCCTTAAAAGCCAACGTGCAGTAGCACAAGAACAAGATTAAACAATTCAACAAGAATTCCCTTAAAAGTCACCTGAGTAATTTGAAACAGAAGAAGAATATACAGCCATGCTTTCCCCTCTCAATTATCCACCAAGCACCAAAATATAAAGAGCTCACAAAAGATAAACTCTGGCCGTTCCCTATATATGATTAAGAACTTGACCAAACAATTTCCAAACAGGGACTGAAAAAATAGAGGAGACCTATATACTGAGTTCCATTTGACAATTCAAAAGAGGGTAATGGAAAGCTTATTGAACAATATTAAAAACTTAGAAGTTTAACATACCTTTTGAGATTCCTGACCCTTGGAACTAAAATGGGCATCATTAAATTCAAGATTCCGTGCGTATTCAGGCTCCAAAAATCTCGCAACATCAAAATGAATCCTGCAAGATTCGCCATGCCAAGATTATATGTGATATCCATAAATACCTCTGCCAAGGTAGCTCATAAGGCCAGCTGTGAGTCGGTGATAGTAATTCTTCTTTTTTCTGAGTAAAGCAAAGACAACAAAGTAGTTAAAATTTTGCCCTTCTAATCCTCTATATTTTGCTTGGCACAATTGCTTAATGCGGTTAAAAAATTCCTCAAGGCAACAATCACCTGTTTATAGGATCTGGAATAAGAATCAAGGAGAGAAACAAAATGATGAGTTAAATACAAATGAGTAGAAAGGTTCCTGTACTTGTTCAATAGCATTTTGATGCACAAATGCAATAATAGTGACACATTCCACACATCATCGAATTGTAACAAGATGATAACAGTATGCATGATTGAAAAATGAAGAGAAAAAATAAATGCCTTCAGAATATTATAATAAAATGAATTGAGCAATCTACAAAGTAGATCCTAGTGAATATTACATGTACAGTTGATGAGGATTTTATAGAGCTAGAACACCAACAAGATATTATATGAACTTAAAAAGCCCTTATAAGAAATTGTGGTCTGTTGCAAGAGAAGAAACTGTTGGAATCACATGAGAGAGAAGACTGCTTAATGACATTGATTAAAAAAAAAAAAAAAAAAAACAAAAAAAAAGGTATGCAAAAGAATGGTCATAATTACAAGTGCCAATTGGCCTGAGAGAGATCTTAAGATAGCTGTTTCCACACCCCCCGCCCCCCCAAACAACAATCACTCTCATCTAAGAGTCAATTAAACCAAAATAATGTACAAATGCACTGCCATCTTCAGAACATATTCAACTCTGAAAGGTCATCCATAGGTATTTCAAGGCCCATTGAGTCATGGTCTTGTAAACCGTCCTCATCAAAGTTAAACCAAGTGTTGAAATCTTGAGGCGCACCAAGGTCAGAACTCACGCCTAAATCCTCTAGTGGGTCTAGTTCGTGCAACTGCATATTTGGAAGGTCCATTTGTTCCTTGATCTCCTTTGATGAATTCTGAGGATTGTTACCAGAGGACATCAGCCGCACCTCCTTTCTTCTGTTGCTAGTGTTCATGACCAATTCCCCAGTAACACCAGCTGATGGATACACAGGATGTGTTGTTTCTGTCGATTTGCTGATGAATCCACTTCCTGATGTTGACAGCTGAGCGGTCTTCTGCTTGGGCTTTGTTTTTGTTTTGCGCTCACCCTTAACATTACCCGGCAATAGACGGCCGGCTTTTCCAACAGCATTTCTGGTTAATTGATCTTTGTCCCTCTCTCTCTCGCTTCTCCTTCCCTTTGTTCCACCTGGAAGAGTGCTATCGAGGGTCGATGTGGCTCTCAAGGCAGCAATGCCACCAACATCATCAAGCAATACTTCTTTCTTCTTCCCTCTGTTTGATGTTGGTCCATTTCTGACAAAAGCCTGATCAGAGTGATGGGCAAAAGTTTCAAACCCATCTAATGAACCTCTATCAATCTTATTATGAAGATCGTGCCACTCAGCAGCACTAGGAAAGGATCCTGTAAGAGCAGAAATCCCATTTGTTAAATAAAGCTGATCTGATAAGGAAGTGAACTTATTAAATAGATGCTTCCATAATTTAGAATTGTTTAAAGCAAGCCAATCAAGAAAACAAATTTACAGTATTCTGCATATATAAATGGTTAATAGATAATATAGCATTTAGCAATCTTGGAGCACCATCCCAGACAAAACTGCTAACGTATTACTTAACAATACATATCATTTACTAAAATTAGCAAACCTGATGCCATGGCGTCTGGCCGGGCGTTATGAGATTCCAGATGCTTATTATTACTATCTGCTGCACCAACACTAATCAAAGGTTCTGCGTCATTACCCCGATGAGGTGCATCAAGAATTAAAGTTCGAAGCGCTGGCTCACTGAAGCAACTTGTTCCTGAATCTTCAAATTTTTGACATCTTGCAAGAGTCCTCTTTGCAAAAGCTAAGGCAACTTGTTTTGAAACCTTAGCAACACCAAGTTTAGAAGCAATACTTCCTCGGGTGGCCTGTCAAAATTAGTCCCAGATATTTATGGTTCAACTCTAAAGCAACACAGCAAATTAAAAATATTAATGTCATAAAAATCAAACTATACGAGGATAAAAATAGAGGTACAAGCATATATCCTTATTTTTTAATGATAACAATAATTCAGAGAGCTTATTTCTTCAAAGTTAAAAAAATACAGGCACGAAAATGGTTATTCGAACAATAAAAGCTTTAAACAACACAGCAAATCAATAATATTGATGTCAAAAAAATCAAACTATACAAGGATAAAAATAGAGGTACAAGCATATATCCTTATTTTTTCAATTAAAATGATAACAATAATTCAGAGATCCTTATTTCTTCAAAGTTAATAAATTCAGGCACGAAAATGGTTATTGGAACAATAAAAGCTTTAAACAAGCTATCTTACATCATCCACCCTCCTCTCAAAAAGTATGTATGCAATAACAATAGTAAACATCCTTAATCCAATATAAATAATATATTAAAAAGGTTTCTGATCAAGGTTTTAAAAGGCAAAGAGTTACATATTATTTCATGAATGCAAGTTTAGAAATTCAAGACTAAGTTTAAGGCATAGTTTTACTTATTTCATTAATTTTTTCCATATAAATTAGTACCCTCCAAAATTAAATTTAAGTAGAAATTAAAAACAAAAGATAATGAGAATAAGTAGAATTATTATATTATAATAATTTAGCTTATTGGAACAATAAAAGCTTTAAACAAGCTATCTTACATCATCCACCCTCCTCTCAAAAAATATGTATGCAATAACAATAGTAAACATCCTTAATTCAATATAAATAATATTTTAAAAAGGTTTCTGATCAAGGTTTTAAAAGGCAAAGAGTTACATATTATTTCATGTATGCAAGTTTAAGTAGAAATTCAAGACTAAGTTTAAGGCATAGTTTTACTTATTTCATTAATTTTTTCCATATAAATTAGTACGTTCCAAAATTAAATTTAAGTAGAAATTAAAAACAAAAGATAATGAGAATAAGTACAATTATTATATTATAATAATTTAGCCTATAATATATTCACCAGAAGGTATTTCAATGCATGATTAATCATTCAAGAAAAATTCAAACTAAAACAACTAAAACAAACACAAAAGAATGAGATCAGCAAATAACAGGAAAATTCATAAAGGGATATGAACTCTCTATTGTTCCAATTCAGAAGATAACAGTGCAAAATATACACTTTTTTAGTAAGGATGACAGAGGAAAGGACACAATAGAGGTTATACATATCAAAGAAAAGCATAATTAAGAAAATAATGTCATTAAAATGAAGTGCACAGTTTGTAACTTTTACAGAGGCATGTCTTTTGATGTTTAAAAAGGAATGCAGATTGTGCTCTCTACACGGCATTTTTGAACAGCAGGCAAAAGGTCCAACTGACATATTACAATTTATGATCCAACTAGTGATACTGATCACCATTGTCAATCACTTGATTTTGCACCATCCCCCAAATTTTTAGTACCATACACCAATGGGTCATTAGACTCATCACTTAGCCCGACTTATGCTTAACATGCACATGCATACAAATAGAGCATGCTAACTAATGCATTTCTTATAAAACATTGCCAGCAATTCCCACAAAGTAATGAACATAGACAATCCCCAAAATAAAACACAAGGTCATTTCAACTGCCCCTTTGTGTCAACTGCCTGAAAATAATTCTAAGCAGTACCAGTCTAAGATGTTCCATGTAGAACATAGAAATTCAACCAAGACATAGCTCTCTGGTCCTCAGTTGCTTCAACACCATTGGCTTGCTTGAGATAACAGACATTCAATCTCAAAAAAACTAATTAAAGGGAGCAACAAAAGAGGCCAACCAGAAAAGCAAAGGATACGAGAGCATAATTGAGTTTTGATTTTCTCGTTTCTACTAATGAAATAGAAAGATATGGCATCTTAGTACGGACTTAACCCCACTCCAGCAGGACAAGTAACCTGAGATCTATAGTGGTAAATCAGGAAGTGTTCCACATTACTCTGTTGAGAACTTGCAGATTTATGTGAGAGAAAGATATTATTATCTGATGAGCTTGAAATCTTTTCTTAGGAGGTTTGACCCCTATTCAGAATCTCTGCAATATGTGGCGGAATGAGTGACAAGGGTGTCAAAAATGTCAGTGGAGTGGGGTTAAACTTTTTGAGTAGTTCTGTGTCCGTCAACATATAAGGCGGTCAAGATTTTGAAAGAGATAAGTTGGACAATTGGTAAGTTTTTTTATGGTTGATGTCTCATAATTCATAGTCGGTTCAATAGAATGGATGAAAATGTGAATGGAAGGGAAAGAAAGAGATATCAAAGAGACATTCCTTGGGAAGGGAAGGAGTCCTTCCCTTCTTTTGTTTAATCAAGTGGAAATGAAGAAAAGAGGAGACACCTTCCATTGTTTGATAAGAGGAAAGGAAGGAAGAGGTTTTAAATATTATTTTAGTACTAAATACCACACTCATCAAGGCAGAGTTAATAAATGACGATAATAACATCGTTTCAATTTTATCTGATAAATCTCCTTCTGTTTCTATCCTATTCTGCCCAGTTCTCGACAAAGCAAATTAGCGGACTGGGGGGGATGCCTCATCTATTTCCTCCCCGTCTCCCTCATCAATGGAAGCATGCTCTCTCCCTCCCCTTCTTAATACCTCCCCCTTACTACCTCCCCCTTCCTTCCCTCCTACTAAACGTAGCATTAGAATGTATTTTTGAAAGTATTAAAGAGGAGGAATCAGAGGGTTGTGTTGACCGTTGGACTCCCTCTGCATCTGTCTTGTTCATTGCCTTTTTATACCAATGGAGCATCTCTGTTGCATATACTTTCCAAGGGTAAGCCAAAACCAAAAGAGTTCGACAGCTTGCTTGTGATGGTACTTCAATTTTGGCAACAATTTTGGTGACAGAATGCTTTCTCAGCTACAATTTCACTAATGCTGAGGAAATATTGCCAATTTGCTGGCAGATCCTCCTTAAGAAGCAGAAGAGTGGACATAATCGAAAGTCGATATTTAAGGCCAGGTCTCATCGAAGAGAGGAGGTGTGAAGACAGGTAGATGAGGTTTTGTGTACGGAAGATCGGTAAGGGTAGAAACCATTGCATAGAAGAACAAGTCTGATGGGTAAAGCTGTGGTGTGCAGAAGGGGGTGGACAGCTGTGCACATAGAGCTAGATTTTCAAACCCAATATACCTTCCATTGACAGCTGGTGAGAAATTTAAACCAAAAGCAGCCACTCATGTGAGGCCCATTCAACAAGGGAAAAAGCAGGTGGATTGGCGGTGGGAGTAGCTATCATCTAGTTGTATGAATCAGTCTTTGGGCCATTAGAAAAAATGGCCAACTAGTGGTGATGATATTCTTGCAGACTGAAAGAAGACTTCGACCAATGGCCTGGTTGGCACTAGAATTGGAACAGGCCATATTCTTGCTTCTAGGAATACAGGGTAGAGGCTCAGTTCCAAGATAGGCACAAAGGGAGCTGTAAGTGTGGGCCTTCTCTTGATCAGCTGGCTTTAAGAAATGGAGAGGCCGAAGTTTTGCTGGAAGCTGAAGGGGAGTCATCTATAATGGAGGAAAAGGAGACCTGTATGCGAAGGCTCCTGCAAAGGAGGCCTTGGCCATTAGTAAGAGGTATGGCGGTTCTGCTGAGAAATTTCATTCCAGTGGAGATAAGCAGGCCTTCCCGATGACTCGGGCACTAGAATCTGAAGAAAATGAACATTAATCTATGATACATTTGTCATGAGCAACCTTATCAACAGCCTTGCAGGTCATCTTTACCTTATATTCCACAGGTGATGCAAAAAGAATGGAGGAAGAGGAGACACAATCAACTGTTGGGGGAAGAGGAAGAAAGCAGAGAGGAGTTGGAACTGTATTTGCTTACCACATGGAGGACCTATTAGACAAATGAAGACTGAAGATGCTCTAAGAAAAGGAGACTACTAGACAAATGAAAAATGAAGATGGGGTACATAAATCAGCAGGTGAGACTTCACGGGAGGATGGGTCCGGAGAGACACACAAAGGGTAGGTCAGAAGTTCAAGGATGGATACTGATTTAGAGGTCAAAGAGATTCGGTACTCGTAAGCTTAGAAAGGGATTTTGTATTGAATTATCAAATCATTTTTGGATGAAGTCTTCTAATTTCCTGAAATTCCGTCAATGCTGGAGGCAGGCAGGGAGTGGCAGTGTCAGACTATTCCAACAGTTGAGCATAGTGGTGGCTTTAAGTGGATGTTAAAAATTTTATAAAGAGGTTTTTCTTAAAGATGGATCTTCTGAGATGTCATTGCATATGCAGTCTTTGGCCATAGTCCCAGTCAGTGAGGGTCCCTCCAAGTGGTGCAGGCACTCAATAGAGTCTGAGGAGGAGGGAGACGATGCTTCTACAACGGAGTTGGGGGACTAGGTAGGTGGTTTGGAGTGCCCCGTGGCTGTCTATACTCAAGTTTGAGATGACCAGTGAGGCATCGGCTTGGGTAATGGAAAGGATTAGGGGATGTCAATAAATTTTTGACTAATGAACGAGGGGTTTGAGGGCAAGACAATGAAGATGTTCGAGGTTATTGACAATGGATGACAATCAATCGGGCCAGGTGGACCGAAAAAGAGCAAGGACAGACCTAGTTCGAGGTGTGAGAGGGAACTCATGAAATTTTAAGGTTCGATTATTTGTGAGGGGAAAGGAACTAGAATCTTATGGTACGGGGTAGGGTCTGGAACGTTGATAAGACTGGGCTTGGGTTGTTTACTGTTTTAGTTTTATATTTTCTCATCAGAGTTGTGAGGTCCGAGGTCTAGGGTTTATGTTCGTGTTATCTGTGGCACGTTTTTTCCCCCTTCTTGCTTCAATCAAACTGGACAAAAGCCAGACTTGGTAGTAGAAGTAAAAGCCTTATTCCTGAAGCTCCTAATAGTCAATAAATGACTTCTGCTTATAATGGTTAAGAAATGATACATTGGGTCATTCGGTCAATCCCCTGTATGATCTCGCCCTCTGCTCCCAAAGCATCCCAGCATCTGTTACTCCTTGTCTCACCCTGTGAAGCAAATTCAGACAGGAGGTTTTCCTTTGAGGATGGCTTCTGGTCAAATGTTGAGGCAACGGAGAACTCACTACTCAATTCCAAGGCAACACCTCTTGCTGCCTCTACGAAGATTTCCCTTCTTTTCTTTGAAATAAGACATTTTGGTTTAGACCATTCAAGTACTTCACTTATATAGGGGTTGTGCCCCCTTGGTGGCTCTTCAGTGGATTGCTTTACTTATCAACAATAAGTGCAACCAAATTTTGCAATAAAGCCTACATAGAAGTTTCCAACCATGCATTCACTTTTAGATCCAATGATTGGCAGAAAACAAAAAAATCTGGCAGCCTCACAAAGTAGATGTGAGATCATCTGCATAAATTCTGCACGATTTTATGCTACTGATATAGCAGTGATTTCTAGTTTAAAATATAATATCAAGTAATATCATTTTAAAGGTTTGTAGATTTAAGAACCTTTAAGAACCAACAAAAACCGTTTTCTTTTCATTTTGTAGGCAAAAAACCTTAAAAATACATTAACAATATAGACACAAGGTAGATCATTCATGTTTTCAAGGAACAATTAAAGAATAGGAAAAGAAATGAAATAATTACCAAAAGCTTTTTGTAGGCCAACTCAACAAGTTTATTCATCGCAACCTGCTCAAGGTCCCTGCACAATAACCACATTATATTATTTATCTCAACATGATTTGAACAAACAACTTTAAAGATTGGTGTTCATAGTGAAAAGCTTAAAAGCCTGATATCAGCAAAATGTCCAAACACAAAAGTATCCTACCGTCTTTCAATCTCCCTCACTCTCTGAATAGCATTATTTATTTGGTCTAAGCAGCCCTTCTTTTTGCCAATCTATGTAAGCAGAGAAAAAATAAAATATATTTTAGTAATATACGATGGATGGGTACAAAAACGGAACACCATCCAAAGAAGGTTGTAACAACATTTGGCTACAACTTAACTTTCTTATAACTTTCCTCACATGTATAGTCTAACATACGTATTTAGGGAAAGGAAACATGCTTTGATCAAAAGTAACACAGATGCAGCATAACCTGTAGGTAAAGTTCATTCTTCAGCTGAATAATTTCTTGATTAACCATTTCATCCTCTCTGTCATCTAAATCAGGCTGTAAGGAGGAATCCAGAAAGAAGATTAGAAAAAAAAAAAAAAAATATATATATATATATATATATATATATATATATATATATTAGATAAAAAACGAAACAAACAAAAATTAAAATAAAATATGTTCAAAGAAATAATACTGAAAGGTAAAATGCAATAATTTAAAAAGATAATCTAAATGCAAATCAGTAACAATATAAGAATGTAAACCCAACATGACCTCATAAAGAAGGCCATATACAAAGAAGAGAAGGGGGGAGGGGAATTAAATAATAAGATGACAAACACCAGTTACATAACATCGTCTACTGTACAAGCCTACCACTGTCTCTGGATATAAGCCAATACTCTGCAGCTCCAGCAAGACTTTGTCATCTAGACACATTTGCTCATATTTGCAATCAAAGGAAGGAATACTGAAATCGTCTGTTTTTGTATTTTGTGGCCCATCCAGATCATTTCTAGAAAGCCCAACCAACATCCCGACCTCTGAATGCACAAATCCACCATCTCCATTCAACAATTTGTCATTACATGGAATATTCTGGATTTGCAGGCTTTCATTACAATTAGTACTCCCATTGCAAGAAAAAAGTCTGTTTGCAGTAAATTCTTTCCGAACTTGAACATCAATCACCGACTCACAATCAAATCCCGTTATGTCCCTCTTTTTATGTTCCGGATCAATAGGGAGACATACATCATCAGGCGAAGCATCTGCATCACAATGGAGTGGTGCATCTCTCCCCAAGTCATTACCTTCAAAATCTTCAATTTCATCATCTGCAATCAGAGCTGATAATACTCTTTGGTACAGTGGAGTAACTTTGTTAAATCTTTTTGCTGAATCTAATCTTCCACATAAAGTATCAAAGCCGTGATATTGATCAACCAACTGCACCGTCCTAGCAGACTTTGTTGAATTGACTTGGTTTTGCAGGTTTCTATCTCTTTCTCCAGCAACAAGAGTGTCAAATGCAGATGTTTCTCCATGCAGATCACCCTGCAAAGTCAAAAGAATGAACTATTAAATGAAGAAAGCCCCCAAATCATATACAAATTTGGACTAACTTGTAAATCCACGAATGCTTTTAATTTCCTGTTTTAGATACTAATGCCACCAAGACACTATCTCCAAAAAAAATAATAATAATCAGAGATGATGATGTGTTCCCTTTTTGCCAATAAAGAACAATTCACTCAAAAGAATAAGAGAAAACCAATTACACACATGGTATACTGAATAAAGACAATACATATAACAAAAGAAGAAAATAAAAAGTGGTGAAGATATTAAGATGAATGAAATGAGAAACAATGGAAGTAAGGAAAGATGAAAATGAAAAACCAACGCCAGTGTGTACCCAATTGTTCCCAAGTATGCAGGGTATTGGGAGGGGTAGACACCGATGCAGATGCAACTTTTTGTATTTAGTTGAACAAAGGCACTGTTCTAAGACTCCAACCTACGTTCTCATACTTGACCATCCAAACTTTAACCATTGCACCAACTCTCAGGGTTCATCCAACTAGGTGATAGATGAAAAGAGTTCAATGGAGATGGAAAAATAATGAAGATCGGTGATGATGGCACCAGTGACCAGGTGTGAGCTGATGGAACTCAAAGGTGCCGGATAAGAAGAAAGGCAGAGGATGCAATTGATTAACGGTGAAAAAGAATCTAAAATTTCATGATGTGTCTAACAAAAGGCTCCTTACTGGCTGATTCACTGCAGAGAAAGAACATGACACCAACATCAGATAGGCAAAATTTTGGACACTAAGAACCATAGATTTTTTTTATAAAAAAAAATAAATTGATGGAGAAAAATGATAATAAAGCAAGGAACAATAGACTTCATAATAAGGAAAAACAGGATCTACTATACCACACATCCAATGGATATCATCCAACTGTATAATACAAAAATAATAATTCCCTGTGAAATCTAAAATGAGCCTAAATCATTGGAAAGCCCTGAAGTTTCAATATGGTGATAGATCCTCTTTTAAAAATTATTTTCTTTTTACAGTACCTCCATGGGAAACAAAATGGAATATCTATTACCATCATGTAACCAAAGACCCCTGCATTAATGGCATAATAGTAATGTGAATTAGAAAGGTTTCACTCAAGTGCTTGTAATTAGATACAAGATATTATAATTATGTCAGAAGGACAATACTTGCCTCAGGCCATATAAGAAGAAACTTACTTCTGATAGGAGACTTGGACCAATAAAAGCTAGACACCTGTCTAAAACTTAAGAAAATTAAATATAACAGCCATTTTCTCTCCCCACGTCTGACATGAATTTTCTCTCTCCACAGTCACTCTCCCGTCTCTCTCAAACACTTCAATCCTCCGGCAGCTTTGACATCAAACCCAAGCTTCCTTCTCTCTCTACCCATCCATTCTTCTGCATTGTTTCTCTCTCTATACATCAATCAGCCACAAGAAGAGGCATGCCAGTAAGACCAAACCACTCTTACCATATCGATGCAAAGTGAAGAACCCTTTAACGATTAAACCCAAGAAACACTCATTACTGACTTCTGCTTCTCACCACCACAACAACGAATCCCTAAAAACTGACCCATGTCAGAATTCATCACCGAAACCCCAAAACTGCCTCCGAATTGCCGAAACTCCAAGTGGATATCGCGGAATCGGCGTGCCAGTGTGGTCAAACTTCAGTTTGTCGAGAAATCTGAAGTGGGTTGTTTGAATCCTTGCATAGAAGAGAAAGGTAGAGATGGGTATGCTTAAACATTGAAGATTGATTCAAATGGAGAGAATTGAATTGCCTTCTCATCTCCATTTGAAGAACCCAATTCAATGCATTGTTTTTGGATGACCATAAAACTGAATGACCATGTTTAATTTCTTACAAGTTTTAGGCAAGTGTCAAGTTTTTATTGATCCAGGTTCCTATCAGAAGGAAGTTCCTTCTTATATGACCTGAACCAAGTATTGTCCATTCCAATTCTCTCCATTTGAATCGTTTTTCAATGTTAAAGCATGTCCACCTCTACTTTTCTCTTCTATGCAAAGATTCGAACAACCCGCTTCAGATTTCTCGACAAATCAAGGTTTGACCACATGAGCACGCCGATTCCGCAATATCCACTTGGAATTTCAGCGGTTCGGAGGTAGTTTTGGGGTTTCTGTGATGAATTCTGACATGGGTACGGTTTTTAGGGATTTTTTGTTGTTGCGGTGAGAAGTTAAAGTCAATGACGATGGGGTTTTGAGAGAGAGGGGAGCGTGACTGTGGAGAGAGAGAATTCGTCTAAAACGTGGGACAGAGGAAAATGGTTGTTATATTTAATTTTTTTAAGTTTTAAACAGGTGTCAAGTTTTGATTGTTCCAAGTCTCCTATCATAAGAAAGCTCATTATTATATGGCCTGAGGCAAGTATTGACCATGCCAGAATGACCTACAATGCAGGTTAATCATTAAAAAAGGTGAACATAATGATGGTAAGATGAGGCAAGATTTGTCTCAAATTTATTAATAATAATAATAAAAGTGCTGCAAAATACAAGTTTTCTGCCTCTAGGAAATACCAAAATATCATTGCCATGGCCAAACATCTGAGATAGGCTTTCCTGAAGTTCCTCTGCAAATTTCAGCTGACAACAACAAAGGAAAAAGTTAAGTCTATGAAAAACATAAATACAACAACAAAATAAAGCATAAATAAATCATTTTTATCACTTTAGATTCTGATTACCACCTGTTGTGATAAGTAAGATATATCTTCTAAGCTGAGAGCAGCAAAGATTGGTTCCATTTTCTTCCAGAAAGGACTATTACCAAGATCTGCAAAAGAAAGAAAAATCGAAAAAAATATATGCTCATATACAAAAACATAAATAAACTATTATACATGAAATCAGGAAAAAAAAAAAAAAAAAAGTTTGATATCAGACACATACAACTAGAATTACACGCGCAATTTGCAGCTGCTAAGAGTTCTTCACGATCATCATCTGATTCTGCTGGAATATGGATGCAGAAGCATAGTTATGCATTTAAAAGAAACAAGAACCATATGGAGAAGAAAACTAAACAAAAAGAAAACAATGCATAAGAATGGTAAAACTTGAACTTCATACAACATATTCATAATTTTTGCTTAAAAAGTAAAATAAAACAAATTTTTGGTCCTAAGGCAAGAATAGGCTGGCACATTGGGTCATCCCTCTCCATACTTAACCCCCCCCCCCCCCCCCCAACCCAACCAAAAAACACACACAAAGGTGATGAAGGTTGATTTAAATCCTGGATTTGAATAGCACGTCTACCAAGAAAATTTGGAAACAACCACATGAGTGCTAGCTGCCACCTTCCCAATAAAATGTGAAAGCAGCAACAAAACAAAATTTTGGCCCAAAGACAAGAATTGTCTGCATGATGGTCATCCCTCTCTGTACACCCACCCCCAACCCTTCCCCCAAAAACAAAGGGAAAAAAACCCAAAATTTTTGATGAAGCTGGATTTTCATCCCAGATATCTATAGCACGAGTACCAAAAAAATTTGAAAATAACCCAACGAACACTAGCTGCCACCTTCCCAATAAAATTTGGAAGGACAAATGTTGAACTCTATACTTGTCTCTCTGAAAAATCTTATAAAATACACAAACTTCCAAGAACAATAATATACATAATAACTACCACCTACACCAAATGAATAAGTTTAAATTTATGGGTTAGTTTGTATACCAGTCAAATCTGGGGAACTACTAATTGGCGTATGCCCAAGACGAGAAAAGGCTTTTCGATCCAACAGTTTCTTCAAAGGACGGCCAGACTTACTGCAACAAATAAATAGTTCAACTTCATCAATAATGAGAACCACGAAAAAAGGTAAAGGATGAACATCCATTCCCTTATCTACGGAAAAACATTCAGCACCTTCCATTCTTATCAGAACCAGGCCTTGAACTTCGAAGTGGCTTTGTTGCGCCTGCATTCTCTAACTTTTCCCTAATTGGTGAAATGCTAGCCCTAGAAAACAAAGAGCCCCTTCCACTCCGCCCTTGTCTCTGCACACCATCACCAATTTCTTCCTTAGTAAGTAATTTATTCTTCTTCGTAATCATCACAGAAGACCCAACATTCTTAACAGCATTTACAGCTTTTTCCTCCACTTCACCATTACCAACACCTTTCTCCTTCAATCTGTTCTCACCAGAACCAGATTTTTCACTTTCCGATAATCCGGCTGGAGATGAAGCATTTTCATGTTTCACTTTAAACTGCTGGGTGCCATTAGCCATGCCCCTGGAAAACAGTGAACCGCTGATTCCGCCAGAAGAAGTTCTAGAACCAAAATCAGAAGGGGAACACCCGTCAGATGGTATCTGCATTTCATCAATGTTTGAGACAGGAGACACCAGATTAACTCTCCTCGTGCGAGAAAGTTTCTGTGGTCTCCGACCACCCCATTGAGCCATTGGTGGAGAAGATGATCCTGAGGCCATAGCACGCTTGCGACTGTTAGCCCCACCAACTGAATGAATTTTGTTTACATTCAGAGGCTGTTCCCAGCTCTCAAGTGCTCCAGATACATGAGGAATATTAGAAGATGAGTTTGCTGCCACTACAGCAGAACCAGTTCGTGGTGTCCTCGAAGCTTTTCCTTTTGTCACTATACTAGGACAGGCCACATGATTGTCCTCACGAATACTTGACCTATAAAATGCAGATATACATACATCAACCAGAAAAGAAATGCAATATCAAGAAATCATAATGTCAAAACAATAAAAAGGGACTGACTACCATCACAGCTAAAATAAGTCAGCTATAGTCTGACACTGACTAATAGCATCATAAGCCTAATGAGTGAATACGTACTTAATGCTTCCTTTTGCTAGAGATCTTTCCTTATTTACTCCAGCTGTGAGATCCCTTGGATGAGAAGTCTTTTCTTGTTCATTCTTGGAAGTTGGACGGGCAATGGGACTAGCAGGCGAGGAAGCAACATCCGACTTGTTAATGCCAGTTGCATTAGAAGATCCTAACCTGAATTGATGTAAAATACCAAGAACATAACAATTATTTTTTTATTAAAGCAATGTACATGACAAGAATAAACACTAACTAGATTTACATCATTAAACGACATAATACTTAATGGGGTAAATTACACTTACCTCCCCCTAGATAGGGTTTATTACACTTACCTCCCCTGTGTTTTGGATAATTACAGTTACCTGCCTACTAGTTACATCTGTCTTACAAACCGACCCCTCCCGTCAGTTTCAGTCAGAGATGGTCAATGCTGATGTGGCAAGTTTTTTAGCTTCATACAACAAACATGCCATTCAAATTGTTGTGAAGACACTTTCATCTAATGCTTGTTGCGCAAAACGACAATTATACCCCCAACCCACGACATTCTCATCAATCTACTTTGCTTTAGTTGGGGGTATAATTGCCTTTTTGCACAACATTGGACAAAAGGGGTTTCACAACAATTTCAAGGGTATATTTGTCATAGAAGCTAAAGAAACTTGCGACATCAGCGTTAAACCATATTTGACCTTTACTCTAGAAGGGAGGTAACTGTAATTTTCCAAAACAAAGGGGAGGTAAGTGTAATAAACTCTAACTAGAGGGGAGGTAAGTGCAATTTACTCTACTTAATATTAAAGAAGTTGACTGACTTATAAGTTCAGTTGAACTGAATAAATTTTTCAAAGACTTGGAATAAAAAAACTTCAGACTGTAATTGACCCAACTACATTAACAACTAAAAATTAGAGGAGGAGGAGAAGAATAACCCTGTACAAGTTAAGACCACTTAAAGAATTCTTAACAACTAAAAATTAGAGGAGGAGAAGAATAACCCTGTACAAGTTAAGACGACTTAAAGAATTATAAATTTCATATTGGGACAAATAGTTCCATACTTCCATTGAATGGATTAATTTTTATTCTTTATTTTTGGATAAGTAAATGGATTAAATTTCCTCATAGAACAACTGTAAATACAAATTTATAAGAGTTCATTTTAGAGCTGATCAAATCTCAATAACAAATGTAAAATTTTTGAGGACTTGTCTTTCTCATTTTTACCCATTGGGGAGAACAGCAACCTAAATTTGAAGCACGATTCAATCCAATTATTTTCATGATGTTCAATTTTTTTTTTCTTTTTTATTCTTCAGCTGTAAGCCTGCAACAAAGAGAGGAAAGACAGCATCCTACAAGAAGTTCACTTTAGCATTCCAACAAAGTTGCAGGGGTAAAGACATATTCAATAAGCATCTGCATGCCTTCAAGTAATTTCTATATGGAACAGTTGTTTTCCCAAAATTTAAAAGAATATGGTATAAGCAACTGAATTTTCCAAGAGAAAGGTACCATTCTTATTGAAAATCATTGTCAAGGTCAACTTCAAAATGGAGAGATTGTACAAAATAATCAGCACTATGACAGCATAAAATGTTGTCCCATAATAATAAAGTAGTTACCTGAAACTGTGCACATCACAAGATTGCAATTCAGGATCATTGCTAAGCTTATGATGCATAGCTCGTTTGAATTCGCCATCGCTATCTATATTTCTTGTAAAAACTGTACCTACTGAACTTTTCCTCTTCAATTTTTGGTCCCACCCTTCCCCTCCAGCAGGCAATCTGCGAATCTTCTTTTCAACCAGATCAGAACCTGTACCACTATCCTTAAGTATGTCACGATCTTTTGCCATGGCTACAAGCTGCCTTGGTGGTCCATTACTCCGGCAATCTGGCTGAAATTATTAAAAAAACAGCTAATTAATAACTTGCAACAGTGTATGAGGTGTTCCAAAAATCGAAGATACTCTCTGCAAGCAGCATGTGGCACACGTGTTAATAAAATTGAGCAGCAATGAAGCACCAGCATGTCCTGTATGAGTTTTATGATCTATGCATTTTCTACAGTTTGAACTGCTTCGATTATATTATTTATGCTTGTAAAGGATGCTTTTATTAACACTTGCAGATTTAAATGAATGACATTAACGGCAATATTCTTTACTGGTTGTGACAGCACCTCCAAATTACACATTTAGCCATGCAAAATGTATGTAATATATAATGCATTGGTTCAGTTTTCCAGGAAGCATCCATATACTATTTACTAATCTCTAGCAAGTAAAGTGTACTAAATAATAAATAATACACCAAGTATAATTGAAGAAGCAAATGTCAAATTAAAGGAACATGAAAAACATCTTGTGAATGGATCTATGCAAGACTGAGGATATAAGTTACAAACCCGTGATTCTGCCAATGATGTGCGTACACGCTTATTCACACCAACATTTTTAGCACGATCCTCCAATCTCGGAGTCACAAGGTCGGGAGGGTTTCGACGAATCTGGCTTCCCATCTTCAAGTTCGGCCCACCTGTTCTTTCATTTGTTAATAACTCATCCCGCTGCTTCTTGGGGTTTATAGCTCCCAAATACTTGTTCAATTTATCCAAGTATTCATCCAATTTTTTTGATCTACCCCTGGTAAAACAACATTCCATTTTAGCAAACAAGCATACGAATGACAGGATATCCAAAAGTGACTAAATCCTATGTTTAGCCATCACATCAAAGGTTAATTACGATTTTCTATGTCCTGATCCAAATAACAACCAAATATATATATATATATATATATATATATTCTCAGGTGCCCAGAGGCATGCGGAGACGAGAAGACTGATCTTGAATTACAAGGTACAGCTTAACTCATCTTAAATAGGATAGGAAATAGTAAGATCATAATACAACAAGTATCAAAAAGCATTTATACATCAATTGCAATATCAAAATTTTATCTCAAAAGAATGAATCATAATAAAATACCTAGCCTTGATGCAGGCATCCATAACACTTGCTTTATAACGCTTTAGGTCATCCATAGCTACTGGAGGGGGAGGCTTAGAGTGAGCAGCTCCAAAAGAATTGTCTTCCGGAGCACTCCCAATAGAAAATCCAAGAACCCGCCTTAACTCACCTGCCCGTGTATATTTTTGATCACCCATCATAATTGGATCCAGCATCAGATACTGTGACAATGGGGGTAAATCCCCTGTCAGTGAGCCACTTCCCCGAGACGCACCAGTCCCAGAACCAAATATCCGGCTCTCGCCAACCTCTCGGAAGCTTCCAGACCTATCCAAACTGGGACCAGGATAATTCCCCCTCTGTCCATTTGGATAGTTGCCCACAAGACTCGATTCCGGACTACCCAAAGTTAACTCGAATCTAGCATTTCCTGCCATTACTCAAACCTAGTGGTAACAACTCATAACTATCAAGTTTTCTCCCTCAACAATTTGTTTCCGTGCCCAAATCAATTACCTCTGAAGCAGTGACTTGTCATAAGCCAAATGAAACTGAGTAATGAATCGATGAGAATAGCTAGTACCAGCAGACACAATTAGATCCAAGGCACCCACATACTGAACTTGGTGTTAAATCATTATTTCCACAAGCTTTTCCTTGGCCTCAATAGTTCAGCACACTGTAGTTAAGAAGGCCAACGGAAATCCAGAGCTTTGACCTATAATGAATAATACAAATGGTAAATACAATTGCAAAACTAGAACATCTTTCATCTATTGAAACAATGCATCAACCAAATACATATATAAATATATATACTAAATAAATCCTTTGAAACTAAAACCTATAACCATTGTTTAAACACGAATAAGAATGAACTTCAGAACATCTTTAATGCCTCTAAACAGTGACAAGTGGTAACTGGAAGGAGGACCAGTAAAAAATTAACAAGTGGTGCCAGTAATATAAAACCCATCAAAAAAACTAGTGAGCCACAGTACCCAAGAATTATAATTAGTACAGTTAATTCTTCAACCTCAATAACTAGTAAAATTCTAATTCCGGAAGTTGCAACTAAACATAGAAGTTTCGACCCAACAACAGGAAAAGTAACAGTAAAAAGCAATTTAAAGCACAATGATTACCTAGAGATAGTAAAAACACAACATTAATCCGAATATCGAGTAGGTTAAAGCTCCAGATAAGTGATATAAGCATCAAAACCACTAAAATTCAAGTGATTTTCATGAAAACCACACGAGCGCATTAGAATTCGGAAAAAGACCGATTGAAAATCTCGGCGAAACCCAAATTCCAAATTCGAATGCGATCTTTTCACCGAGAAGCAAAGACAAACTCAAACGATCAAACAAAGTTTAACGAATTCTCAAACCCTAGTTTGACCAAAAAGATTTTAGGGTTTATCAACGAATTCCCGAAATTGACCAATTTGAGCTCAAAAGCGAATTAATTAAACAGTGCAGGGTTCGAGAAAATCAAAAAAACCTACCGGCATTCGTCAATTGGGCGTGATCGAAGAGAGAGAAAGAGAAGAGTTCGAAGAGAGAGAAAGTTCGAGTAAGAATGGTGGCTGATTTTCTATACCTTTTTTCCTTGCCTTGAAGCTGTCGTGGAGATTCTTCGCTGGAGAGAGAGGGGAGAGAGAGATGATTGGGATAGGGTCCCGCTAAATTTAGGGGTAATTTCAGAAGGTACAAAATGCTACTGACGCTAATATAAGGGCGCTTAGTTTCAAGTTCGGACCTTCCACTCAGAATTAGCGGATTTAATGGTACTTGGTCTTTCACTTATCTTTATAAAAAATTGACTGTACCTAGTACACAACAGAAATTATTTTAGCATATAAGTGAACAAGAAATTTATAAAATAAAGTTTGGAATATAGTTCAAGAATTAAAATAAAATAAATAAGTTATACAATTACGTCCCGTTCAGCATGCGTTTTGTTTGTGTTGTTTTTATTTTTGAACTATTACAGTGTCAATTTTGACAACAAAAGCATGTTTGGTATGACCTTGTTTTAATTTATACAATGATAAAATATTTCGTAAACAGTGGCCAAAATCAACACATCAAAAAAAAAAATTATTATTTTGACAACTGTTCATGTCCCAAAACCATTACAGTAACACATCACGGACCTAAATATTTCAGAGTGTTTTCCATTTTTTTCTAAAACACTCCTACAACAAACCTAGAACAAAGCACATGCCAAACCCATGACTAGTTGGTTGTCTTAATATTAGATAATAATATAATCTGTATCTTTTGTTAAATATTTATTTCAATAATTATCACATCAATCAATAACAAAAATAAAAAATTTATTCAAAGAGCTAGCTTATCTATTTTCTAAATGCATATAGTCCTTTTTTTTTTGTTCTTTAATACAACAATAATAGCAACCAGTGTCTTTTTTCTCAACTACTGTTTGAAATCAGTTACATGAATGGTATATTTTTTTTTATACATAGGTCTCAGGGTTCCCGTGTGTGTGTGTGTGTGTAATAAATAAATAAAAAGTCACTTATAGAATTTTCAGTCAAGGGATTGTTATTTAGTGTACATGTAATATGCAATTGAGACAATGAGTCAAACTAGTGGAAGAAGTTATGGTATGTAAAAAGGTTTATATGCAGTTATGTGGAGGTTTGGCTAGACTAATTAGGTAGTGAGTGGGTATCTATATATTGGTGTTAGATATATATATATATATGATGGGACCAAATTATAAGTGGTAAAGGGTACAAAAGGAATGATTGGCTTGGATGAGCTAACATTGAGGACTTTTAAGGTTGGGTTTTGTGTTGTTTGGGGAACCCTTCTCTTTGTGGCTGCTAGGTTGAAGAAATAATATTCATAACACATGTGACTTGAAAATTTAGTATTTTACAAAAATATATATATATATTATAATAATAATAATATAAATAAATAACTTGAAAATTTAGTAGGATGTGACTATCATCGCTTTGTTCTATATACTTTAATATTCACCTTGCAATATGTTTACTTTCTTAAATTCAATTTATTCAGATGTTGTTTTAAATAAATTTATTCAATTTAGTGGTATAAGAAAACTGATTGATTTGAAGTTTTGAACAATGAAAAAACCTAAGGCATGTGAAAATACATAAAAATAAATAAATAAAGAGAAAAATAAGAGTCAACACTATTGTGTTCTTTGTTAAAAACATATTTTTTTTAAAAAAGAGTCAACAACACTAATGTGTTCTTTGTTAGGAAACAAGATATAACAAGTTGTAAAGCAGAAAATTCTTATCAGATAGCCCATTTGTTGGCTAGACATGATCTAATGCAACTTTGTTAAATTGTAATGTTTTTACATTATCAACTAATGAACTTAGCAATGATATCCAAATATTAGGGAAAAAAAAATGTGCAGGGAGGCCACTAGACAAGTAGCTTTTTTATTTTTTATTTTATTTACTTATTTATCCGGCAAATTAAGAACTCCACAATACTTTGAGGGAGTGTTCAATTGTATGGAATTCGAATTTTAGAATTAAAATTGGTAGAATTTGAGAAAAACAACTAAAAACATTGAACTAAAATTTTCTCAAATTCCACAAATTCCCATTTCAATGCTAAGGTCCGTGAAAATACATAACAAAAATAAATAAAGAGAAAATTAAGAGTCAACACTATTGTATTCTTTGTTAAAAACATTTTTTTTTTTTTTTTTAAAGAGTCAACACTATTGTGTCGTTTGTTAGGAAACAAGATGTAACAAGTTTTTCATGCAGAAAATTCTTATCGGATAGCCCATTTGTTGGCTTATATATGATCTAATGCAACTTTGTTAAATTGTAATGTTTTTACATTATCCATTAATGAACTTAGCAAACAATACTCAGAATGATATCCAAATATTAGGAAAATAAAAATGTGTAGGGAGGCAACTAGACAAGTAGCTTTTTTATTTTATTTACTTATTTATTCGGTAAATTAAGAACTCCCACAAAACTTTGAGGGAGTGTTCGGTTACATGGAATTCAAGTATTGGAATTGGAATTAGAAATGTTAGAATTTGAGAAAAACAATTAAAAATATTGAACCAAAATTTTATCAAATTCCAATTTCTATACTCCAATTCCATGCAACCAAACACAACCTGAGGCAAATTAGAACCTCCACATTTCGATAAATTTGGATGGAAGGGAAAGAAAAAGAGATTGAGGTTGTGTGCTTCCTTCTTCTTTTTTCGGTTGGATATAAGAGAAGATAATAAGTTCAAATTTTACTATGTCAGTTAGGAGAGAAGGAAAAAGAAAGTTTTAAATTATTTTTATCATTATATCTAATAATATCTATAATATTATAATTTATAAAAGATAGTATTGTAATATAAAACTTGTATAATTTAGGATCTTATTTAATTTAAAACTTCTATAATTTTCGAATGAAGGAAGTTAATTTCTTCTTTCTATTTTCTCTCCGTACCTCTTCCTTCTTTTCTACCGAACAAAGCATAAGTCAAAAATATTGATGATTCTTGAATTATTTTGAATGGATGGGAAAATTGAACTTTTTGTTTGATAAAATTTCCAACTAGGAAAACCTTGTTAAAAAGTTCCAATCCATCTTGAAGTCCATGTCACACGAAAAGCATTCATAGTTCACAACAATATCACATCATAGCCCCACAACACAAGTAGCAATTTGATTGTGTCAAAACTTGAACCCACACTATCTACATCAGAGACACATGCTACTGGCAAGCTAAGACAATATTTGAAATAATAATAATAAAAAAATAAAATAAAATAAAAAGTTCTCACCATAAAATTTTAAAATAAGTGAAAATGTTGAAATAAAAAATGATTTATTTAATATTTCACTTGACTATTATGGAAAAAATCAACCAAAAAGGAAAAGAGAAGCATTTAAAAAGACCAAAATCTCTAGTCTTGCACCAGTGTTTTTCAGGAGGGTTGGCAAGACTTTTCACATTGGGACTTGTCTGTATTGAACTAAATGGCTACAACACAATCTTTAATCTTGGAAAATAATTGCTTACTTTGAAGGGGTTTAATAATGAACAGAGCTTCATTTCGATGGCAGGTCAAACAAAACTGGTGGACTATTATCTATAAATAACCAAGCACAAGTATTCCCAATAGATAATTGTATGTTAATCGGAGGACAAGTCTCCAAATAGATTGACTAAATTGGGAAAAAGTAAGGGAATGGAGTGACCTTAATCAAAAGGGTCGAGGATAGAAACCAATCTTGTTGATACATGAAAAGTACATGGACAAATTAGTAAAATAATAAATTTATTTTGAAGAAAAAAAACCTAAAATGGAGGTTCTAATGAACTTCCTAACCATCCACTTTTGGGGGAATGTCTTCTAGTCTAAGCCGTAGGGTTGCTCCATTATTCTTCGGAGTTTGACTTTGAACCGTCACACCCCTCCTCTCCACTAACCCAAACGTTCTTGCCATGAAAAAAAATAAAAAATTAAAAAAAACTTAACAACTATTCACGTTTTGAAAAAGGTCTTTACATATGTGTAACCAAATGTAACATTTTTGAAGAAAATGACTTTTTGAGCTCTCATGAAGCGCCTCCAAACAGGGCCTTTATCTTTTAAGACCTTGGGTCTATATAACACAAGTCAGTTTCAAATCATTCATATGCCTAGGAAGCTCTGTAGTAAGATGACACCAAGGATCAAAATTTTGCTACTCAGTAGAAATCATATGGAACCATTGGGCTTGGCTTGAGCATTTAGAAGAAAGCTTTGGTTGGGATAGTACTTGGATTTGTACACTCAAGCCAGAAGTATTTGGGTGTTGAAGCAAAGGGTTGCTTTTGTTTTTTTTTTTTGGTTAGGAATTGGACCTCCAACCCACACTTTGTTAAAAACCTTCACTATACAAGTAGCGCTAGAAAGCCCATGTTTTGTAACAGACTAAAAATTAATTTGCTTACACTTGCCCATTCCATATTGAATGTCAAATAATGATGAATTCTGATTTAGATTTTGTTAAATGAAATTGTTTTCAACAATTGTAGCGAATCCAAAAATAAATAAAGAAACACGACAAGAAGTAATTGCACCATCCACAAAGAACATAAAAATTTAGCGTGATTCGGTAAAACCTATATCTGTGGTGGAGATATGATGAAAGTCCTTCACTATGCGAAAAATAGGAGATTATAAGTTTTAGCCATCACTCTCTTTCTCTGCAATTTTCAGTTTCTCTCTATCTCTCACTCTAAACCTTAAACACCCATATATATCGGGCTATAAGGGAGAACTAATTATGATTCACAACCCAAAAATAAAAACTGGTCAAAAAAATTTCTCGAGGCCAAACCCCCGACCCCGTAGCTTTGATGAGACCGACACCAAATTTTAGCCGCAACATCACACAAAATCAATCAATTTATTCAATTGGTTTGGATAGTATAGCTTCTTGATGCATCATATTCAAAATTAGAGATAATTGTAGGTACAATAGAGATAATAATTCATCAAGGGACCAACCCATGTCAATCTAAAGCTGAAAGTCTTAAAAATCAACACTATATAACTTATTCCTTTACCAATTAACTATTTCCCAAACCAAGTCCCTCTCAATTTGCATAATTTTGAACCCTAATACATACAAATTTATTAAGATTTTGATATATTTTTTTTCATATTAATTATTAAAATCAAATGTCCCCGTCGAGATCGTACCTACATGAGTAAAATTCTACCGTAATCAAGTGGATTCATGATGCACTGCATTTGCGGTATGGACTGCATACAGAACATGATTCAATTGATTGAGTGTGGAGGGGGGGGGACCTTCATGATGGTTCCCTTGGGAGCCCTAGAAAAAATAACCTCATCTTGTGATTTTTTCTACTATTTTATTTATTTATTTATTTATTATTATTATTATTTGTATTAGTTGGTATTTTTGAGTTTAGTTGAGAAATAGGGTAGCAATTTCACTTGTCTTGAGATACAAGAATAAAGCAATAATCATTAATCAGTTGTCATTTAACAGATCATACCTTAAGCTGAAGCTAACTAAATAATCCTCTGTGTCTTCATTTACAAGCAAAGTAGTATATTTTTTGTGGTAGTAGAGCACTAGTTGTATTATTATTGTGAAACATTATCTGTGACTTAATCAATCATATATACCACTGACATTCCATAGTATATATATATATATATACACATATATGGAGTACATATTTCAACAGCACCAAGTCATTGAAAATTGAGTCTTTGTCATTCTTGATCAAGTAACAAAGACAGAACAACCATGTCTCCAAGAATGACAGTTTTGTTAGTTATTTTCCTCCACAGCTATGTAGCCTTGGCCTCTGATCCTGATGCAGTCCAAGACTTCTGCATACCTAGCTCAAATCTGTCATCCAGTGTCCACTGCAAGAACTCATCATTGGTCACGGTTGAAGATTTTGCGTTTTCTGGTATAAAAAACGCGGGAAAATTTGGCAAGGCTAAGTTCACATCCATGGCAGTGACTTCAAGAGTGTTTCCAGGTCTCAACACACTAGGAATGGCATTTGTGAGGGCTGATTTTGATGTGGGGGGCGTCAACGTGCCACATTTTCATCCGAGAGCCACTGAGACTGCGTTTGTGCTGGAGGGGAAGCTTTATTCCGGATTTGTTGATTCAGAAAACCGCGTTTTTGCCAAAGTGATCCAGAAAGGCGAGGTCATGGTGTTTCCAAAGGGCCTAGTGCATTTCCAAATGAATGTTGGGAAATCACATGCCACTATTTTGGGGAGTTTTAACAGCCAAAATCCAGGAGCAGTGAAAATTCCGTTAGCTGTTTTCGGATCTGAGATTAAAGAAGAGCTCTTGGAAAAGGCTTTTGGATTGAGTTCCAAGGACATTTCCAGGATGAGGAAGAGGTTTGGTGCCAAAGGATCTAGGTAGAGTGTTTTGTTTTGTTTTTTTTTTTTCACTTTATACCCTATGATCAATAATGGAAACTAGTGATAATATTTTGAAAGCAAACACAAGAAAAATTTTCTGTTTCAGTGTCTCTAGAAAATCTAAAGTTTAGAGGGGTAATATGTAGTGGATTTCTTTGGTCACTTTGTCCCTTTTGCTCATTCTTCCTCCAATTTATGAACTTTCTTTTTACAAGGCACTTTGCTGGCCCTTTCTTGTTTGCTCGATGTTTCAAAAGCATAGTCTAGAATCAGAATCAAGTTGATTGAATGTTCTTCCAATTCTACTACAGTTTAGTTTTTGACCAGAGACTAATTAAGTTGATTTTATATATATATATATTGAAAATTCAGGTGTATGTTTGTACAAAGTAATGCTTCAATACTAGAATGTACATGTGATGCTTAATATTGCTCTTTACATTTTTGGAGAGGTGATCAACATTTTTCACATATTCTGTTCCTACATTTCTTTTACTTCTTTACCATTTTTTATTTATTTATAAAAAATAATAATAATAAATTCTTGGGTTTTAACTCATTATTCATCTCTAACATCCTTGTTAAAACTGTTTTGCATATGATCTCATATTATGATCATGATAGCCCAAAAAAAAAAAATTTAACAAGAAAAGTTGGAAATAAATCCATTACAAGATGATCAAGCACTGTTAAGTCAAAGATGAAAATAAGCAGGCTATCAACGGGCAAATGACCTAATGGTATCAGATCTTTACTTCTCAAACGAATGTCGATGGTTTAAGTTTCAATAGAAGCGTGTGTGAGTACCAACTAAAAAAAAAAATCGCTAACAAGAGAAGGTGAAGGTGTTAAAAGAATATGTTAGGTACAATAATTGAGGCAAAAGTTGAGTCAAAAGCAAAAAATTTCAACCACCTCAACTAATCCTTGGTGGTGATGTTTCTAATAGTGAGCTAAAGAAACCTAATTGTCACTCATTAATAATTATAATTTCTCAAAGGCACATACATGATTTGCCATCAGACACCATCATTAAAAAGAAGGTAGAGCTGTAAAGATAAAGGAAGAATCAATTCCCTTTACCTAATTGAGGAAATTTTGATGGTGTAAAGTTCAAGCCATCTATATATATATATATATTTACCACAAAAGTAGAATTTAAATTAAATACAACAATTATATCTTTATTGGGAAATTTATAACCTTTAATCCTGTTGTCTCTCCCATTTGTTGATTGTCCTCTCACCTCAACATGGTCCAAGGGGACCCTTCTGACTCATAAGTAGGTGCATGTCTTGGTAGGGTTTCTGAAAAAAGCAAGGCTAAGTGTGAAACTGTGAATTGTTCAACTCTGACACTGGCAACCCTTGCCTTCTCAGTCACTTGGGATCTTTTATGGATGAAGACATTGTTTCTCTCAATTAAACCCTTAAATTGGGGCAAAAACCTTATAGAGTTAGATCAGTTATTTCTCTCTAACCCATTTAACTTGATACAAGTGAAAATTTGATTCAGCTAACTATAAAGTATAACAGTTTTACTTTGAGTCTTAAAAACGAGGGTAAAATGCAAAAAACCTGTTATATATTGAATGTGCAAATACCTCTGGCTTTATTAAAAAAAAAAAAAAAAAATGTTCTTCATTTTCCAAATTGAGTAAATAAGAACATTTTGTTGACTTGAAGATTGAAATATCTAAAATGCCCTCAAGACAAATAAAAATAAAAAACATTGATTTCACTTTTTAAGGATATAAAAAGGGTATTTTGGGGTTTTTATACACAAATTTGGTCAAAAGTTACAGTCAACAGATATTAGGGGGCAAATTGTACATATTTTTAAAAGTTAGGGATTTATATGTACATACTGTTTTTTTTTTTTGCACATTTTGTATATAGTATGGGCTTTTTTGCACTTTAACCTAAAAACAATGAGAAAAAAATAAAGAATGCTTTCTGAAAAGAAAAAGAACAACTTGGTCATTATAATTTTGATAGCAGAGGCAAATTCACAAGCCATACATACCAATATGAGACATTGAAGAAGACCCCAAAACACAAAGTTCCACAACTAACCACTAGAGAGTACTCTAATATGATAAAGCCATAACATAATCTAATAGAGAAGAGTACTTATTCTACTCACCCTACCTATAGATATATTAATATACCTTCACAGTTCATACTTAAAGCCAAGCACTCAACATCTCATTCCAGGTATCAGGTACACCAGGCAGGCACCAATGGCTGCAATCAGAGGTGTAGTCTCTTATGTGCTGCTTCTCTTCTTGGCTCACAGCTCTGGAATACACAGAAGGATGCCCATCTCTCCGAAGAGCCGACATCGTCGTCACATCTTGCAAGTATACTGGAAATCTCATCCTGCTTAAAACCCCCTTCAACACTAGCATTTGCTGAGGAACATGAGGATGACTGGCAAACTCTAGAGGTTGCCTCTGGTTGTAGCATTTCCAACCATTTTCTCTGCAGAAGATGAACAAAAAAACAGAACCTCCAATTAAGACAACATAAATACATAATCAGCGTAATGTTACACATTCGAACATTGGTGGGATGTATAGTCAATGTGAGTGGAACAATGCTAGGCCTGTCGGCATGCAACAGAGAGAGAGGGATGTGTGTGGGATCCCACCACCCCACTCCCTTCTAGCTCTCTGTTGCATGTCAACAAAAATATACTAATTCTGTTATTAATGTGAGTGTATCGATTGTCACAAAGTCAAAAAAAAAAAAAAAAAAAAGAAAAAAAAATAGTTTTTCATTTAATAAATAAATGCATATGGAATTCATAGTTATGAGAGTAGAACAATACTATGCCTACGGCCATACGACAGAGAGAGGGGTTGTGCAGGATCCACCACCCTACACACTCCTATCTCTTTGTCGCTATCGCAATGTCAACAGAATTATACTTATTGTGTTATTTATGCGAGTGTGTTGTAGTTGTCGCAAAGTCATAAGACAATTAGTCTTTCATTTAATAAATAAATACATATGGAACCATAGTCAATGAGAGTAGAACAATCCTAGACCTGCGATAAAGAGATGGGTGTGTGGGGTTCTCCACCCCACACCCTCCTATCTCTCGGTCGCCTGTTGTAATGTCAGCATAAATATACTTATTATATGTGTTATTCATGTTAATGCGTCTCGCGAATTCATACTGAGTTTTCCATTTAATAAATAAATGCATGAGCACATACATACACAAATATACAAAGGTGCGTACATATATAATTAATTAAACACAAGTACACAAAATGTCATAACTATCAAAATTATGTGCATATGTATAATAAATGTTATACCTGTTATGCCTTGGTGACATGCTGCGAAAAATGACTCTGGTTGTGCGAGGGTTTAGATGTAAATCTACCCATTTGGCCCATGTTATTAGTCCTTTCTCATAGGCAACCATTGGGTTCAAATTTCTCAAGACACTGTTTCTCTCCATTATGAAGTCCCACCTGTATGACTTTGTGTTAGTTTGGCATGAAAGTCATATGAAATTGAACTCCAAACAACAATATCTTCAACTAATTAAAGGGAAGAGAAAAGAAAGGAAAGGTTGTGTGAAATTTCCTCTTACGATCTATATTTGTCGGAGTGAGTCCACCAATGAGCTGAATCAAACACAAGAACATCAACTCCTCTCCAATACTTAGCATTCTCTTCTATCAAATCCAAATGTAGAATTCTCTTGTTTCCAAGTCCTTTCTTCACTTCCACTAGAAATGGAGCCCATGTAAACTCTATTGATGTCTCATAATCCTGTCAACATTTTACTTAAATTAATTATGCTAATCAAATATTAACAGAGAATTAAGTCTCACCCATTATAAGGCTTCGTTTGAATTGATGGAATTGGAAGGAAAAGAAAAGGAAAGGGGTGATAGTAGTTTTCATGTTTGGTTTACCTATGAGAGAGAAGAAAGGAAAAGGAGAGATAGGAAAGAAAAGAAAGGAAAAGGAGAGAAAATGTTTAGACATATGTATATATATTTCTAAAAATACAGAAAAAATAAAAACAAATTATGTATCTTACTAAGGCATGAAAGGCCATGGAAGGACCATTGTAGGTCAGAGTCTTTCTACTAGTAGGAACAACTGATTGGACTAAGCAGACAAGAGACTCCCATTGATTCCTCATTATGGAATCACCTACTAGCATAATTCTCTTCTTTCTCATCTTCCCAAGAAAACCCAATGCATTAAACCTGAATATATCACCAAAACGAAGCAAAAAAATCACTTCAATAACAATGCATGGTACATAACATAAATATTATAGCATTTTACACTTGTTAGGAGATAAGACTGCGTACATCTTACCCTATCCAAATCCTGCAATGGCAGAAATCTCGTGTATTGTGCTAGAAAAAGAAAAAGAAGAAGAAGAAGGCGTAAACTTGTTATAACAAATTTTTTTCACTTGAGTACCTTGGCATTGAGCAACCATTTGGCTTCCACTTCCATTTCTCATAATCAGAGTCTGGCCTTCCATTTTTCTGACAAGTCACCGCGGAACTAAGGTATGGACAATTAGTCGAATCATAGAGAGGGTATGACTGATCGAAAATCCATTTTCCGGACGAAAGGTCACACCTCCTTTGTGACTGATCATGCCGGCTTTGGACCATGACCACCTCATCCTCTTCCTCATCCAACCATGACAAGTCGTCGAGGTCAAACTCCTCCGAGGACTTGCCACGGAAGAAGCTCAAAGAGATGATGAACAAGAAGAAGAAGAACCAGCAGGATGAGTTTGGTTTGGGATTAGCCATTGAAGCCAACTAGTGCATGGTAGAGAAAGAGGATGGTTGCAAAAGGTCCTAATGAAGGAGCTAGTTTATGTTGACTAAAGGAGTGTTCCATTTCGGCATGACTTGCGGTGGCATGGCCCATGCAAATGCTCTTTTCACTCGATGACATTGTTTACTGTAATTAAGATGTCTATATCTATAATGTCTATGCTTTCTTTTCCTTTTACTGTGCTCATGACCACAATGTGTGTGCATACACTATTTGTGTGTGTGTGTGTGTGTGTGTGTATATATATAGAGAGAGAGAGAGAGGTGAAAGTAGGTTCCCCGTGACATGTGGGAGTGTAGGCCAGTGATTTTTAACGTAAAAAAGGGTAGAGATGATCGTAATAATGGACAGGAGAATGAAAGCAAGCATGCTGGGGACTTTAGACCCACCACTACTATGATGCTTTGTCTAAGAATATAGTCAACCGGACTGATGGTAGTGATCACTATAGCGAGATTGACGGTTGTGATGGGATGACTTGTTACTGCCATACTGTTCTAACCCGGGATTACAAAGAAATCCCCACAAGCACTTTCATTGGATCAGTCTACCACGTGTCAGATGGATTAGAACCAACTAATAATTTTTTCAAAACTTGAGCCAGCTTGATTTTCTCAGTACCTATTTTTATGTTTGGGTCCTGAATTGAAAAGTATCAAGCGGAACTTAATTAGGGTTAAGCAACTTCGAATTGAGTTGCCATCAACCCGAGTCCAACCCAAATTTTAATATTATTTATATATATTTATTTTAAATATAATATATATAATACTCAAATTATGATCATTTTTTATTTTCAACTTCCTTTATTTAAATCTTATTTTATTGCATGATTATACTTTGGAGAATTAATTTTCTAAGAATTTGTTTGTAATTTTTACATTAAGATTTTAATTTTTTTTTAGAGTATTCTAATTTGAAATTAGCTCAATAGCACGTTAAATTTTCAATGTGGATTTGGCCATATAGGTAATCTAAATTAATTCAACTTTTTAACTTGAAATCTCAGCCCGAAATGCAAACCCAAGTTTAAAATCAAAGATGAGTTGGACATCGATTGAGTAGTTCGTGTTGGATTAGATTAGGATTAAACATCTCATATGTAGGGTTAGGATTAGGCCCGAGTTGTGCCTCCAACCCGTCCGAGTTGCAGCCCCAATTTCATGGACTAATGCACAGATTGCTTTAAGTACTCAAAGAGGACCGTTTCTCCTACCAGACATGGGCCTGTACCTAGGTGGAGTCATTTTAAGAAATCAAACAGTTTGGGCTGGGGTTTGCTTACACCAAAAATTGCCACACATTATAAACAGACCAGATTGTGTATGTATTTGGATATTAGTCTTCTGTTTTTGTCCATCTGTAGTCCACTTCTGGCCTTTTACCTCAGTCACATTCATTTTCCATGCCCAAATTTACAGTGGTTTTGGATCTTTTGGTTTCCTCTTTTCTTATTTTGTGTATAGTTTCCTATTATTAATTATTTATTATTATTATTATTATCTTAACAATAAACTCACACACACTCATTTTGTTTTTGTAGGGACTAATGTTCGACCTTTTACTTTAGAAAATGAGGAAATATCATTAGGTAATAATTTTTATGTTTGGTTTGGTAAGACAGAAGGAAGAGAGTTAGAGGGAAAATAGGAAAGAAAAAGCAAACTATAAAAGTACCTCGGTTCTTCTATAAATTAATATATAATAATTGTTAAAAAATAATTATAAATAACTAAAATTAAACACTTTTTAATAGTTTAAATTAAATTAATATGAGTATTTTTTTTTTTTTTAATATGAGTATCAGAGAAGGTAAAATCTTAGTCTTGAGTATGACATTGTTGACTCATATCTCTTTTAGTACATGTGCACACGATAATTATAGGGAACACTTCATTTATATAAACTCTAACGCAATGTTTAAGAAAAAAATAAAAACTTTTTATTATTACATTTTTTGGTTTTCAAGACTATTAATTCTTTATTCGACGTAGAAATTAGACTAATGATCAAAATAAAATAAACAAAGCTAATATTGGAATGGGTAGGCTGTTGATTTTTGACCCAAGAAATGGTAAATAGGCTTCTCATTTGACTTGGTGAATCTGACTTTGGATGAGACTTGTTGAGTGGGACCCATGTGCGGTTGGTAAAGACCCACAGTCCAAAAATGTGTACTCCAAATATGTTTGGCCGCAATATATATATATATATATATATATATATTTATTTATTTATTTATTTATATTTATGTGTGTGTATGCAGCGGATTCCCTTGAATTGTTTCTCCTCGTAGAGTCACATGTAATAATCCCCAACTTTTGACTACAAGAGAATCATAGTGTGATTGAAAAAACAAAAAAATATCAGTGTGATATTTAAAGTTGCATTGAGAATATATATTTAAATTGACAAATTAGTTTCTATTAATGTTTTAGTGTTTGATGTTTTAGTACTTGAGTTTTCCCTTGCAATGTAACAATATTGGCTCACAATTAAAATGGCCCGTGGTTTTGATTGTGCATGAAATTATATTTGATTGAACTTGAATTTTGTAGAAGTTTTTTTTTTTTTTTTTTTTTTAATTTGACAAGAAAAAATAAAAGAAAGAGTTACTTTATTATAGATAAAAAAAGAATTAAATAGCAACGTTTAAGAATCAAGTGTCATAAATGTCACCAAAACATAATTAAGGTTGACAAAATATAAAGAAAAAAAAGATGGGTGCTTCAAACTATAAACAAATAAGTCAAAGTAATTATAAAACCCCTCTCTACTTTCAAAATCATGCATAAAACTTTCAATATAATTAAAAAAACTCCTGAACTAATTAAACCTATCAACTTATTTCAAACCTGTGACCGACTCGTTAGTTGAGTTGTGAAATGTAAAATTTGACCTTATTATTTAATATTAAATTAAAAGTTAAAATTATTATTTTAAAATTAAAAAAAATGCCTTTATAATAATATTAGTTAATGTTAGATGTGTTATTATCTTACGAACGACAGATGACCCATTTCTCAGCCCAATATTATTTTTATAATATAAAAATAATAATTATAACTTTTAATTTAATATTAAATATTAAGGTCAAATTTGACATTTCATATCCCATTTAACAGATCGATCACGAATTTAGAGATAACTTAATAAATTTTGTTATTTTAAGAGATTATTTATTTATTTTTAATTTTAATAAATACTTTATACACGATTTTAAAAATAAAAAGAGTTTTATTTTTTTAATCCCAACTTAAATCTAGTGGTTCCACCTCCTACTTCTTAATATAAGGTTAGGGTGAATAAAAAATAGATGCCTATTGTTAGAAAAATATTATAATAAAGAGGGCACAATAGGTGGACAAACACACTTAGTGCACTCTCTCTCACACACAAAATGTAATTTTATATATATATATATATATATAGACACACACACACACACATAAACTAGCTAATGCATGGCATGTGTAGCAGATGCATTAATTTGTTCTTTTATCACGGCAAACAAAAGTAGACAACATTCAAATCAGCCCCACCAACCGTCCCGTTCTTGCATTCACATGGAAATGAAAAAATGGACCTACTATTATTATTAAGAGTCCATCAAAACATTGCACATAATCAAAATCCAAATGATCAAAATTGCATACATAAAAGAAATTAAGAATCAAAACAATTACTTCAACTCGTGACTAAAATTATTTGTGGTGGCTGTGTAAGAGCTTTGACTATACCATACGCTTAGAAATTCACGTAAAAATGAATGAAACACCCTACCAACTCCCTTTTTGAGTTTGACATTGAGATTGATGTACTTAAATGAAAATATTCAAATACAAAATTTATTAGTACCATGAATAGTCAATGATAAAGTTGTTTGAATTTGAAAAACGAAAAAATAGTCTTTTGCATGTGAGGAATACACACATCAGACTTTCTCCGGATTTCACAATGGTACAAGCCCCTTGTTACAAGGGGGAGACTTGACCTATATCAAATTCAGATAGAAAATGACATGAGTATAAATAAATAAGTATATAATATTATCTAATATTTTAATTTTTTGAGCAAATAGACAAACGTCCATTCGCTACAGTTGATATCGGAGTCAAACCCAATTCTTGAGCCAAATGCCAAGTCCGGAAGACGTCCGGGTGTACTACCCGAGTAGGCAGGGTGGCCCAATCGTAACGAGGGTGTTGCGAGTTCGGGTGGGTAAATAATCTTACAAGGCAAGACTTATCCCACATCGAATCTGGATGGAAAGTTACGTGGGTATAAATAAGGGATCCAGTCCTTAATTCGGTGTCACGCCAACCGTTTAGTTCGAAAAGCGTCCAGGTATGCTATCCAAGTAGGGGGTGGCCCTACCGCAACGAGGGTGTTGCGAGTTTGGATTTGGAGAGAATGTTACAAGGGAAGACTTGTCTCACATCGAATCTGGATGAGTATAAATAGATGGGTATACAACACTACCCAATAACTTAAATTTTTAGTTAAATGAATAAAAATTTTACATCTAAGTACACTTAATTAGAGGAAATATATATATATATATATATATATATATATATATAAATGAGGTGTTTGATTTCCTACTCAATTTCCTACTTCAGCTTTGGTATAATTTTAGGATACCGCTTAATATGGTAGTTTTAAGCGAGTAGAGGGTTGCTTATTGCTTATCACAGAAGATGGTAAGTGATTAAGTTTTAAAACTATTTTTTTAATGATTACTCTACCCTCAAATAATCACCCTCTCTCTTCTAAACTTCTCTTTGCAATTTCTTTAAAATTCTCTTTGCGATCTCTCTTCATATGGAAATAGAGTTAGTTCTCTTGTTAAAAAAACTCTTCTATATATATTTAGTTGGTTGTTACTTTTTTTTATTTTTATTTTTTTCACTTTTACATTATAGAACAAATTCTTTAAAAAAATATATAATTTTACCAAATTCCCAATAATAATAATAATAATAATAATTCTACGTATTATATTATAAACACGTCTCTTTGGTTACCTATTCAAATTGATTTAATACCAGTATTTATATAATAGAATTCTATTTATAGATAAGAACTCTTTTTCACCTACTTTCTGTAATATTTTTAACATCCTTTTGGATACTATACATAAATATTATATAATCCAAAGCTCATATATTTTAAATTTTTTATCACTTATTTATATAATAGAATTATATTCCTGGTTAAGAATTTTTTTTCAGGTACTTTTTTAGTAACAACATTTTCAATACCATACATAAATATTATGTAACAAAAAATCAATATATTTAAAATTTTACTTTATTTAATCATTGTAACACCTTTTTCGATATCCTACATAACAATTTAACAAATATTATATAATCTAAAACACATATATTTTAAATTTTACTTTCTTTAATCTTTGTAGCACCTTTTTCGATATCCTACATAAATGTTATGTAATCCAAAATTCATATATTTTAAATTTTCATCAATTATTTATATAATATAATTTTATTTCTAGATAAGAATTTTATTTATTTATTTATTTTTATTATTTGACATTATTCATTGTTAAATTGAAATATTTCATTGGGTGAATTGATGTTTTTATATTATAAATATAAAATTGTTATGAGTACCATATATTGAGGGCAAAAATGTAATCTGTACAACTTTCAAACTCCAAACTTCAGCTTTTGTATATAATAAACAATCTTAATGAATTCAATACTTAAAATTAAAACATTATCAAACGGTTTTCAAATATATATATTCAATACTTAAAATTTCAATACTTAAAATTCAGTACACAAGATTTCACCTAAATTAGAGGAAAGATATATGAAAATTGTGATGATAAATATATGTAGAAAATATATTTATCAATACCTTAAAATATATGAAAATAGTGATGGATGCATTACCATATGTCATTTTTTTTTTCTTTTTGAAAAGATTATAAAATTTCGTGAATAATATACAAACATATCAGTGGATATAACAAAAATTGATTACTTTGGACTTGGAGGTATTTTTCACAAATTATTTTATACCAAGGTGATTAATTTTGTTTATTGATACATTTTTCGATATGATCAATATAAAAAAACCTATTGTACTTGATTTTGGACTTTTAGTAATATGAAATTTAGTAATTAATTATTGGTAGCCCACTTGCCACTATATTGGTTCCATCCAAAAACCAGCATATTCAATAATATAATTAATTAATTAATATCATTATTTTCCACGCCCCGCCTATCTTTCTTGAGAGTCAACATTGGCCTAAAGGTCCTCAATGGACAATTCCCTAAATCCCAAGAGAATATGCTGCAAAAGCAGAAGGGTATTACAGTAAAAGCAAACCACGAATTTCTTAAACATTCCCACCAACCTTCATTTTTTGAGGAATTATATGGATTGGGTCACTATTCTAGATAAAATTATTGTGTATTTTACACAACCTTATTATACATTTATATTAGTATTTTTTTTCTCGCTTCTCTCTTTTTCATTCTATTAACGAATCAACCCTTTGTTAAATATGTTTGTAAAAATTATGTAGGGTCTTAATATCACAGTAATTGATTGTTATTGACAAATATATTCGTACACAAATGTATAAAATAATAAAGGGAGTTAAAAATAATTAGTGCAAAATTTTTGTATAAATTTATAGTGACACGTCAGATTTACAAATATATATTTCAATAAACAATTAAGTGAAAAAAGACAATATATTTTATGAAAACCACTCCAATATTTCTTAGAGCATCTCCAATATATATATATATATATATATATATATAGTCTTTTTTCACTTAATTGTTTATTGAAATATTACTATAAGGATGGTGAAACAAACCTAAAATTCCTCTTCTACCCCTTTTTTCCCCTCTTCTACCCTTCAGATATATTTACAGTTGAATACTCGCATCTAGTCAAGTTGTCACAGTCACACCAACGGTGGGTCCCTTCTAAGAATCAACCAAAAATTTCAACTCCATGAGTGTGTATATGAATATGAACGACACCCAGGATCTACTACTTCCATCGTCTCTGTGAAAGCTCTTTTTAGCTTTCGATTCTCTCTCAACGTATCTGTATATATATAGAGATATATATTTGATTGAGAGAGTGATTCATATAGTTGATTTCATTCAAACTCTGGTGTGTTGTTATTGAAATGGCTGAGGAATCGCAGAAATGGGTGTTGATGGTCACCGCACAGACACCAACCAACATCGCTGTGATCAAGTATTGGGGCAAGAGGGACGAAACCCTAATTTTGCCCATCAATGACAGCATCAGTGTCACTCTCGATCCCAAACATCTCTGCACCACCACCACCGTTGCTGTGAGTCCTACCTTTGACCAAGATCGCATGTGGCTCAATGGCAAGGTATGAAATTGCAATTTCACTGTCTCTATTAGATTACTTGTGTGCATCTGAATCTATGAGGCTATATGTCCTGTTTGGTTTCTGAGGAAATTGTTCGGGAATAAAGAAGAAAATGAAAGGAAATCGGATTTTATGATTTATTGTGTCTGAAGTGATAAGCTCACTTCACATGATGCAAAGAGATGTTCAGGCTTTCTTGATAAAACCCATTACTGTAATAAATATCATTTTCATGAATTTTCTGCTTAGCCAAAGAGAGGTATGGCGTTGGTATTGTTTCATGACATTTTTTTGATGGTGATTGCAGGAGATATCCCTTTCTGGAGGTAGATACCAGAATTGTTTGAGGGAAATTCGGTCTCGTGCTTGTGATGTTGAGGATGAGAAAAAGGGTGTCAAGATCACAAAGAAGGATTGGGAGAAATTGCATCTCCACATTGCTTCTTACAACAATTTCCCTACTGCTGCTGGTTTGGCTTCCTCGGCTGCCGGTTTTGCTTGCCTTGGTAACAAAGCCCTTTCTTTTCTTTTTACTTGTCATATAGTTGACTCTCCAATTATTAATAAGGGTAGGAGTATAGGAGAGAATAATTTTGTCAATTAATGAAATTGTTTGAAGTTCTTTATTCCTTTCTTTAGGGAATAACTTCCCCGCAAAAGGGGGGAAAATGCTACAAAAATCACTTGACAACATGAAATTTGACCCTGCTGTTTTCAGTGGTTCCTTAATCTACTTTGCAACTTCCAAACATGAATAATCAGCTGAATATGTTAAGAAGTAGCCAGTGTTTCACACCAGTACAATATGTGGAGAGCAAGAAGTACTGATAGAATTACTGATATAAAAAAAAGTACTGATAGAAATAAGAGTTGGTCTTACTTGTAGTGTGGAGAGAAAGGGCAAGCGAATTCAGAAATCTTCTATTTAAAATGTTGTATATGTTGTTTCCAGTGCCTCATTAGTCTATGGCAGATGCTTTTTAAGGTCTTTGTTTTTTCCCCCTTAATTTTATGGAGTAGCCAAACCAGACATCTTTCAGCATAAGACTCAACATTGATCTGCAATTTCCCAAGGAATAAAAAAAATCTTTTGCATGGCAAAATGACATTATATTACCAAGCATTAGTTGCTTCTAATTTTTAGGGATATAAATTTTTGTTGATGCCTAGAACATCTCATCAAACGTGTCTTTGTTGCATGTTACCATTAATGTTGAACTTTGTTAGGCAGTTTATGACTAGATAGCAAAGTAAACTGTGAACCTATTTAAGAGCTTGATATGAATTTCCTAGCTTATATAAAGGAATTTTGTGTATTCTTATGAGTATATTGGAAGTAATTATACATTTATAATAATCTGTGGATTTGTTATTTCTATGCTAAAAACTACCTATTTGTTTTAGTCTTCATATTTGCAGCTCATGCTTGTTATATCTAATGGTGCAGTAAATCATAAACTATTCTGCATAAGTATGACTACTGTTTTTTTCATTATCAGTTTTTGCCCTCGCAAAGCTAATGAATGTGAAAGAAGATCAGGGGAAACTTTCAGCTATAGCAAGGTACTTCTTAAATTTGGCGTATCTTTTAGTTTATGGGTTCTAGTTGTTTGGGCATAATGTGTCTTGTCAGTGCATGCATTTGTGCTGGCATTTCTGAGCTTGGAGCTGATTTTATAATTTCTATTTTAACCGTTGTTTATAATAAGTTTCATGTCCTAGTATCCTGTAATCTGTATTTTGTCTTGTAATTTCTTTCTCACGCTGCCCATGTTTGTTTGGTTTTCTTCCATTCCTATCGTTTCTTTTTATATCCGAAATTCAAGAATGCAATTAAATAATAGCGGTGACATGTCATAAATATTGTTTATTCATATACAGGCAAGGTTCAGGAAGTGCTTGTCGCAGTTTATATGGTGGTTTTGTGAAGTGGATAATGGGAAAAGTAAGTTCGATTTATAATATTATATCTTTGGCGGCTTCTGTCCAAAAAGTAGGTTATGTTTTTGAACTATTACTCTAACTCGTTACTCCTTATTGTGTCAAGGATGACAAAGGAAGTGACAGCATTGCTGTTCAACTTGCAGATGAGAAGCACTGGGATGAGCTTGTTATTGTGATTGCTGTGGTATGTACTTTACTTTCAAGTGATGTTCTCTTGTTTGGAAACCATTGTGCTGCTTTGGAGTGGTGGAAATGTGTGAGACTGGGGTGCAAGCCCCTGTCTAGACTCGATCCCAATCGAGTAATATTTGGCACTGGATCCTATCTCTAGGTTGCTTGCATTGCTTGCTTGTTTGCATTGTATCTTTTTGTGTGGTGAGAACTGCTGCTTCTAGAAATTTGTAATAGGGAGGGATCTAAAACAATTCCTTGCTTCCTTTCAGTATTTTTCTATTATGGCTGCATTTCTATCGACGAAAATGTTTCCATAATGGTTTTTTCATTTTCTCGTGTTTGGTTAGCATTCAAAAGTAGGAAAACATTTTTCGAGTAAAATAATTTATGGTAAAAGATGAAAATTTGACTTAAGTCATTTTGTGCATCCTTGCACTAGCAGCTTTTGCACAACACAGGAGCTCCACCAACTGCACCCCCTCCCACAGACACGCACGCCCCCTTCCCAACCACCCTCACCCACACACCACATACACACCAAATCATCCCCCAACATATACATGTCTGCCTCCCAATAAGGTTGCAGTTTGATTTGTTGAACTGAAATGAAGGGATTTGGGTTTCAAATTTGCAATAGGCGCTATGCAGTGTGATTTGCAATTGGAGTTGGATTTGGAAGAGTCAAGGGAGAGGATAGAATAGAGGAGATAAGGAAAAACATCAACCACAATGTGTGGAACTAGAATTCTGTGTGACGGACTTCCTTTGCCTTGTTATTTGAAATTCACTAATATAGGGCTCTCAAATCCATCAATGGAGCTTGTTGAAATCCAAGCCCTAGCTATAATCTTCCACCAATCCAATGTAGATCCATTCATTGCAAAACTATTTATTTGAATGCAACCTAATATTAACATGGAATCTAGGTTTTCTATGTGCTGTTTAAGTTTGGTTCTGGTTATTTTTGTGATTGCGATTTATATAATATTCTGCTGGAAGAAAAATATTTCCACCCCCCCCCCCCCCCCCCCGCGGGCACACTCTCTTGCTCTCCTTTTATCTTATATATTTTAATTTTTTTTACTTTTATGTAATAATTCTGGTTAGTTGTGGCTCCTTCGAGTTAAAATCTGGTTATTGCATTTGTGGAGTTGTGACCGATGGATCTTAGTTGATCTACACACACTTTGGTTAAGAGCTTGTCAGTTAACCTCTAAAACGCTGCAAATCTTTTAAATCATGTCATATCATATGTAGAGTTCTGATTAAATAAAAATTTGTGTATTTAGGATATAATTTTGTTTTTTGGTGGCTAGTAATTTCTTGCTAGAATGAGATTGTGGTACACGAATTATATGTTGTTGTGCTATATCGGATTATTATTTTTTATAATGTAAAATTATCAAACTTCATTCCTTTGAAGGGAAATTTGATGACTGATGTTGGACCCCAAATGAGTATGTGATATGCTTTCTCCTTCACCCCTTTTATTTTGCAATTCCAATGTTGCTTGTTATTTCAGGTAAGTTCACGTCAGAAGGAAACAAGTAGCACCTCAGGAATGCGTGAGACTGTTGAAACAAGCAGGCTTATAGAGCATAGAGCAAAGGTACTTCTTGTCTTCTCTATATCACTTTAATAGTTTCTCTCAGTAAAAGATACTGTGGCTTTACTTATATGAATGTCTGAGCAATAGCCTGACTTTGATTACGTTATTGGTAAAATAGTGCATTAAACTTTTCACAGCCTCAGGCTCTTCTCCTTAGAATTTTTTCTTCAGTTATAAATTTATCTGAGCATCAGAAATTGATCCACCTATTGTATATTTTCTTCTTGTTCTTTTGAAATGTCTCAGGAAGTAGTACCAAAGCGCATTGTTCAAATGGAAGAAGCCATAAAAAATCGTGATTTCCCAGCTTTTGCACGTTTGTCTTGTGCTGACAGTAATCAGTTCCATGCAGTCTGCCTGGATACAAGTCCCCCAATATTCTATATGAATGACACATCCCACAGGTAAGTTCTATTTTCTTTCTATATTCTGATCTTGAACTTAAACTATTGGCGGCTCTGTGTCATTTCTATGTATTTTTCCAGCAGTGTCCTTAAAAATGTAGTTTCTATGCAGGATAATTAGCTGCGTTGAGAAATGGAATCGTTCTGAGGGAACACCTCAGGTTTGTCTTCTCTGCAATCTTATTCAGGAATTTTGCTTACTCTTCTGATTGCAGAAGATGAATTACATTACTAATGTGCATTCCTTATGAAAGAAGAATTTAGAAATGGATGTTACAAGATTGGATATTTAAAATGTCATTTTCAGTAATTCAGATGTGAAAAATCAGCTGTATCACCTATCTACTATGGTGCCATTTATTGAAGAGGAAATTTTCTCTACTAGAATGAGATTCTGGAAATTACTTAAATACCTATCAGAAGATAGATTAAGAATAAAGCCCTTTTTGCTGCATATTTAACACCTGATAGTATGAGGTGAATAGGTCTATCTTTTATTTTGTACACAGTCATTTTTGATGCAAAATTTTTGCACCTCGCTTGTAATTCTTCTTGTCATTAACTTAGTCACCTAGACATCTATTAGAAGATCATCTAATAACATAAAGCCATTTTCCCTGCATATGAATTGACTGGAAATCATGTAGTAGACATGGTAATATTTTATGAATTGACCGCAAAGTTCTGGCACATCACTTGCTCATAGTTCGTGTACTTTTGACATTTTAAACAGTATTATGATTTAATAACGGTTTGATGCTTAATACAAACTAATTCCCACCATTTCTCTGCATAAAACACCCACCATGCTAAAAGCATTATTCAGTTGCGGTGAATCTTGCAAGTCAAAGCCAACTTCACCATCTTGGTAAAAAGACAATGCTCATTGTTTTTTGTCGTCTTTAAAGCCTCCTAAAAAGGATATTGAACCCTCAAGACAGCTTAGCTCCAATGTGTAACTGGTTTTTAATTTTTTAATCTTTCTTTCTCCTTCAATAAGTTAATTTGGTATTATAATTGTATTCACTCTCGTTACAAGCATTTTAAACAATTAGAGCTTGATTTTTCTTGTCATTCAGTGAGGAGATTCCTACTATTAGAGTTAGTCTTAACTCTTACGCAATGAATTATTGTCTGGTGATATATATTTTTATTTTTTATTTTTTCCTGGTTAAATTGTTTGTGGTGATTTCATACCTTTTCAAAGCAACTCACTTGCATAAATGAAATTCTCCTAGGTCGGAGCTGTTTCTTACATTTGGGTCTTGTGCATCACCATGCCATATTAAGTTATTAATGCCATAGCTGTTCCAAAAGCATGGAACTCATATGATGGAAAATGAAAAAAAATGTTGAATTATCAAGCTACCTGGGCTCTGATTGACATGTCATTGAATACCTAGCTGTTTTGTTACTATTTACTGAGTTTGCCATTAATGACATAATATTACACAGCCTGAACCCTTGCAGCCCAATCATTTAAGTTCTTACAGCCTAAACCCCTGCAGCCTTAATATACACCTGTAGTGGCATCTCTGGTTGGCTTTTGCTGGTTATTCGAAAAAGATAAAAATATTTAAGAATTTTGACAGGTGGCATATACTTTTGATGCGGGGCCAAATGCAGTTCTAATTGCACGAAATAGAGAGGTTGCTTCCCAATTGATTCAAAGGCTGCTTTTTCAATTCCCTCCACCTTCCGATACTGAACTGAACAGGTATTGTGTTTTGATAAATTCAGATATTAAACTTATCATATTACTTGGTTTTCTTAATTGGCAGAAGACATGTATAAACAGAGTTAAATGCAAAGTCGAAGATGTTTCTATAATTCCATGGCATGCCCGCGGATGAATTATCTGATATTTCTTTGCTTTCTCTTCTTTTCCCTTCAGTTATGTTATCGGTGATAAGTCGATACTTCAAGATGCTGGGATTCAGGAAATGAAGGATGTCGAAGCTTTGCCCCCACCTCCAGAAATTAAGAATAATATCCCAGCCCAGAGAACCAAGGGAGATGTTAGTTACTTTATTTGCACAAAGCCTGGGAGAGGTCCCGTTGTGCTGTGTGACGAAAGTCATGCTCTTCTGAATCCTGAAACTGGGCTTCCCAAGTAAAGAGGGTATATTTTGCTTCGTTTGGTGTCTCTTCTCAGGCTGACTCAAAATTGTTAGCGTGGAGTATTTGCAATCAGTTAGTTTTTACATTGCACCGGATGGAACTGTGAAATTGCAAATTTGCAGTTCTTCCTTTTATGTTGTAATTTAAACATTCCTCAATCTTCTAATGTTTATGTACTCGTTATCTTCTACATAGTAATGAATAAATTGCTCATCAATCAATCAATTTCCCATTCAGTGTTTTTTTTGGGATTATTCCGGATGAACTGTCAATCTGTTTGGTTTTTGTTGTTCAACTTGGGTCCCAATGATAGTGAATACATAATGAGATAAATCACCGGAAGGTAAAGCCAAGATCTCGGGGTTCACAATGAGCAATGAAGCAGAGTCTGCATATGGAGAATCTAAGACGCATACACCATCCACAACCACATTCAAGTAAAAAATTGGTAGGAGCAACTGTACCAAAACGCATGGTATCAATACATAATATGTATGTGTGTATAGTGTGTGTATATGTCAATCCTATACATGCTTATATTCGGTGTATTTGTTGTGTTCTTGAATTATGGAGGTGAACCAACTGCCCAGTTATTCAAATTGACGTTCTTCCGTATGCTTTTGATTCAAGCATATGGATATTGCTTTTCTTGTTCAACTCAAAAACTTTTGCTCAAAGCACACATAACTTTTTCATGCCTTATTGTCATGCTCTATTTGCGGGACACGTATGGTAAGAGAAGAGGAGAGTCCTAAAGTCTTTTATATTTGTTATATTTGGAAGTATTGAATTGACGACTTGAATTTGGAATTGAAGAAAATTTAGTTCAAACTTTGTACTATTTTTTTTTTTTTTACTTCAAATCTAAGGTGCCGTTTAGGTGCTCCCAAATGCAACATTATATAAAAAATTGTGAATTGTTGAGAGTTGAAAGATTTTTAGAATGTTAAGAGGCTTGTACAAATTTGTACTGTTTAAGATTTTGAAAAGAATTAGAGAGTTATGTAAAATTTGTGTATAGTAGAAATATTCCACATTTATGTAAAAATAAGCTAGTGTTGACTGTTGAGAGAACAGGAAGAGAGATTTGTAAAGTGCGGAGAGTTCTAAAAGATTAGGGAGTTGGATAGAATTTATTTAGCATAAGATCTTAGCCATTGATGATAATACATTCTAGCCATTCAACAGAGAGAATAGTGTCTATATATAAGTTGGAGTTTAATCTGTAACATTGGTGGAATAAAACTGCCGAGTGTGTAATAGTAAAGTAAGCTTTCATGGCTAATAATTCAATATCTAATTACACTTCTTTAATCTGACAAAACTCAGATTTTCCTTACCTATCCCATATAACCTTTCAAAGTAACTAACAGCACAAGAGTGTTGAACCTTTGAAAGTAACTAACAGCACAAGAGTGTTAATTAGGCTTTTAGGGTGCTGGTAGATTGCATTCCCATAATTTTTAATTTTTTATGGTAATATTGAATTATGTTAGAATATTTTAATAATAAACCATTCATTTGTATAATTACATTTTGAAAATGCCATTTTATTTTTCTATCCAATAGAATTTTGTTCTTTTTTTTTTTTTTTTTTTTCTATTCTCTCTCCTCTCCCACAACCTAAAGGAACAATGATTCTAATTCTCACAGTCTCACGACTTACTTAAAACACGAACAACCAAAGAAATACATAACAAATCCATCATGGTAGGAAGCAAAGAAAATTATTGATACAAAATGATAATATTTTTTGGATTGAAAATTGTTTGTGTGCTAAGGTTAACGAAGTGGAGAGAAATAGGAACCAATTTGGTCAAGAGTTACATGATCAAAATTTTGACTATCCACCATATCAAAGTCCCCAACTTCAAATTTTGTCCACACCCAACCCAATAAACTGGATATTTTTACGCCCAATTATAAAAACACACTCCCAAGTCCAAGTCCAAGTCCAAGTCCACAGTGGGACCTATTCAGGGACTCCCTGTGGCCCAGACTGTCATAACTCCTTTGCTTTTTGTTGACTGTTTTCGCTCCTTTTGCAAACCCATCAAAATTATTTTGTAGTATCAATTTAAATAGGGTATTTCTTTAATGTTTTCAAAAATTGATTTTTATATATCCTTTATGCTCCGTAGGAAGGAAAAAAAATTGAATAGAAGGGAGATAAGAAAGGATGCCTGAGACATCCCTAGGGAGATTTAGCGTTTTCTATTTTTGTTCGGTTGGATGTAATGTTACGTTTGGTGTGCAGAAATGGAATGGAATGGAATGCCCATTCCAACCATTCATTTGTTTTGTGTCCAGGAATGGAATGGAATGGAATGAAAATCCATTACAGGGAATGAGAATTCATTGCATTACTAAACCTATGGAATGGCCATTCCATTCCATAGTAAGATTAAAGTTTTTTGTAATATTTCCAATAAGCCCTTCATCACATTCTAATAAAACAAAATCTTTCCCATTCTATTTTTCACATTTGTCAAGATTCTTTATTAGACGTGGTAAAGGTGTACTCTTTCATCTTCCCTCTCTTCTGAATATATCCCGAACTGCCATTGATAAAAAGTTGCAGGACCTCCAACCAAATTACATGTATTAATATATTTATCTTTTATTTATTTATTTATTTATTTTCTTCTATCGTTGTGTCGAAACGTTTGTGTGATTTCTCCATCTTTCTTTCTTCTAATATTTACGTATGAAGCAATGATTATATAAAATAAAAATTAATAATCACATAAAATAAAAATTAATAATCATCTCGAGCCAAAAGTGGACTTATTTGACTTTTTGACCCTTGTCAAGTTCATCGTTAGATGATTGGAGAACCTTGCTTTCGAATTTTATCAAAACTAGAATTTTCAAGAAATCTACAAAAAAAAAAAAAAAAAAATGAATGGAAAATCTAGCAAAATACCTATTGGCCTATGACTTCAGTGCTTTAGTGGTGGATTTTTTAAGATTAATATCTCATTAAAAATAATATTTAGATATTTTTCCTTTTGCAGTTATTTATTAAGATTAATAATTCATTAAAAATAATAATTTTTTTATTTTAAGATTTTTCTTTATTTTTTTCAATGGCAATACTGGGCATCTTATAATATTCAATAATTCATCGTTAGAATTACAAAGTAATGTAAGCCAATGAAAAGGGCATTTTTGAGAAAAATCATTCAATTCCAAATTTAATGATAGTCAACCAAACAATAGAATGGTAATAATCATTCCATTCCATAACGATTCACCGTGTCACACCAAACGTTAGAATGGTAATACTCATTCCATTCCATTCTTATTCTCATTCCATTCCAAGTTGTATTTCATTCCATTCTTGCACACCAAACACAGCCTAAGAGAATGAAAAAAATTAACAATTTAATTTGATCTGATAAATGGAAAGATAAATTTTTAAGTTATTTTTACTGTTAAACTCACTCCTTACTTTATTTATGGATTTATTAAATATTTATGAAAGGTTACCGTAGTAATTTAAAACTTCTATAATAGACTCACTTGTCTTCTCTTCTATCTTCCGCTTATATTTTAATTTTAAAAAAAAAATAAAAAAATAATTTTCGAAAAAAATCTTCCGCTCATATTTGAGCGAATGAAAATTTGTGAAGGAGGACTCATCCTTCCTATTATCATTTTTTTTTTTATATTATCTCTACCGAACAAAAAAAATTTATTCCTTCCTTTTTGTTTTTCTTTCCACTCCTCTTCTTTCATTCTTACCGGACATGTACGAGGGTTGAGAACCACTACATATTTTGATGCCAATGATAATGAAAACATATTGAGATAAAGCACTTAAGATAGTGCCAAACGATGGATCTCAAGGTCCACAATTAGTAATGAAGCTTGTCATCATATTTGTCAAGTAGATTTTGATAAAATTTGCTAGCGTAAGAAAAGATGCAGAGGCTGCGCATGGAGAATCAAAGACGGGCCCAAGGAAACCATGGCTAAATTATAGTTATAAATAGTGACTTTTCTATATTATACAATAGTTAGATTTTTTATATAAAAATTAAAGACATATGGTTACATTATGATTATTAAATGTGGCTTGTAAATTAAATTACTTATAACCTTTCGAAGTCAAATAAATCTCTTGCTTTAACTAATTCAAAATATAATTAAAAAAATTATTATTATGTTAATCCTTGTTGTAGCATACTCTATTTATACACACACATACATAAAAATATTTGACATGTGAAAACCTCAACTATTTTTTTTTTTTTTTTTTTTTTTAATATCATTTATAGACATGCTTTCAACGTTTAAATAAACTAAAAAAAATTCTACAATTATTTTATTTTATTTTTAAATTTTGATTTTATATTTACTAGTCCCCATCCCACAAAGACCAAAATTGACGTTCTTCCACATGCTTAATGTTTATGTCATGAAAACTTTTTCACGCCTTATTGTCGCGCCCAGTCTATTTGCTACCTAGGAAGAGCAATACAGGACACTATGACGCGATAGGAACACAATTATAGGGCAATTTTTTTAAAAAAATAGGACATGGATATAGTATGAATACATCAAAAAAATAATATAATATTTTATCAAATATAAAAAAATAATCATTTTTATTCATTTTATCCGCATAATCTTGAATGAAAAGCGCTAATTTAGAGTTTAGAATAAAATGTTTGTTATTTTTATTATTTTTCGTATTAGTCCATAATATATTTAAAATTTTATTCTTTTAAATAAAATAATTACAAAATTACCTCTCCCTCTCCGGAAAGTGTCAAAAACGTGTCCTTGCTGTGTTTATGATGTGACCCAATAGTGTTCAATTATAATATAAAATATTCAAATTTTAGAATACTTCTAGCCATATTCGATACGTGTTCGAGCTGTGTCTGATTGTCTGACACCGCCACGACACCCCTAGGTAGGTTAGGTAAAGTGTCCTTACTTCATAGAGACACATGAGCGCTGAGAAAACTCTTCATCGTGTCTGTATAGCATTAGGAGGTCTTCCATACCTATGTAGAAAATTGCTAAGTGTTAAGAGTAAGAAGATTTTAGAATATTATACAGCTATAGAGATTTGTATAGTGTAACTTTTTTTCTTCTAAAGATTAGGGAGTTGGGTAGAATTTGTTTAGAAATTTTTTGAAAGTAGGTTTTAGCTATTAATTATAATGGCATCGTAGTCGTTGATTAGGGAGGAGGATGTCTATATATATAACTTGGAGTCACTATAGCCTGAGAAAAAAAA